CACCTGCTGCGCTAGATGCTGGTTCAAGTCCCTGCTGCACCACTTCCCATCCAGCTCTCTGCCAATGTGCCTGGGAAAGCAGCAGAGGATGGCCAAAGTTTTTGGGCCCCTGCATCCATGTGGGAGACCCTGAAGATGCTTCTGGCTCTGGCTTCAGACTGGCCCAGCTCCGGCTATTGTGGCCCTTTGGGGAGTGAACCAGTAGATGGAAGACCCCTCTCTCCATCTCTCCCTCTATCTGTAACTCTCTCAAATATTTTTTTAAATTTAATACATGCACAATGGAATGTTACTCAGCCTTAAGAAGGAAGAAAATCGTGATACATGCTAAAATGTGATTGACTCTTAATGATATTACAGTTAAGTGAAATAAGCCAGACAGAAAAAGACAAAGATTTTTAGTATAGTCAAATGTTTTTAGGATCCCCAGGGATTGAGTTTCCTGGTTCAGCTTCCAGATACATGGTGGGACCTCATGGCTCTGGACTCCAGCACATGGTTCCTTGACAGTGAGGAGGGAGCTTCCTTGTCAGTTTGCAGCGTGGAAACCCATTAATGTTTTGTAAAATTAACTTAATTCTTAAAAGTATGTAAAATCAAATAAAATTAACAATCTTAACCATTTTTAGATGTGTAGTTCAGTAGCATAAAGTACATTTATATTGTTAGGAAATCAAAGAACTCTTCACCTTGCAAAACTCTACTCATTAAACCACTCCTTATTCTCCCCTGCCCTGGCCACTACCTTCCTATTTCCTGTCTATAAATCTGACTACCACGCACCGCCTCCTGGGAACCCAAGGATTAATCATCCTCCATTTTTCCTGTAATTCAGAGGTATCTGTTATTCCAGTTAATAACAAGCGTCCAACTTTGGGGAATCCACTTCTGCCTCTCTTTAGGAGGGTGGCTTCAGAAATAGGGACTTCAGTTTTACTTATGAGTGGTGAGAGTGCCCCCACCACACAAAGAACTCAAAACTGAAAGGAGTGTGAGCAGTTGCTGCATCTAAGCGCTGTCCAGCGTCCTGCTTTCTCTGGAGAGGGAGACCAGGCTTGGGCTCACATCCTTTCCAGCCGCGTCCCCACTCCTACCAGGCGCCGCACACCGAACTTCAAGGCGCCCGGGTAAGGCGCACAAACCTGGGGAGCCCAGGAGTAGGCTCTGCCGGCAGCTGCTGTGGTACGGAGCCAAGGACAGGGCTGTCCCCATGCCCACACCCCAAAAGCCAAGCCCTTGGGCTGCGCAGAGCCCTGAGGGCGCCCCTAGTGGCTTCTTCTCCTTGAGAATCAGAACTGGGGACCACTCGACTCCAGCCTCCCTTTGAGCCTTGTCTGAAGACCTCAGCTGCACTCAATTAAAGCAATAAATCTCAAGAGCCAACTAGAAACGCGAGGTGCCCTGCAGTAGAATCAGGGGACTCCAGCTGGATGTGGAGATTGCAACCTTGTCGTCTCCAGAGTCCATTCCAAGGCTGCAGGAGTTGGCAGGGTTTTCCGTGGTAAAAAAATCACCCACATAGAGTGCCTTTGCAATTAGAAAATAAAACACATATTCCCCAAAAAGAACAGCTTATTTTTGCTTATCGAATGACAGTCCCCAATTTACAGAGAGCCTTCAATGAACTTACACTGTGATGAGGGAGAAAGACAACATGAAATAAATAATTACACCTCTGGGAGAATGGGAGGAAAGAAAACAAAAAACCATGATGTCTTTTAAGGAAGAGGAGGTGATGCTAGTAAGAGACTGTACAATCTCTGGGAGGAGGTGGTATTTAAACTGCAATCTAAGGGATGGTCTAGAGCCAGCTCTAGGAGTGGAGAGATGATTGTGCTGAGAAGGTAAGCTATGCCAAGGTCTGAGTTATGAATTAAGAAGTGAGAGGGGATCGTGACACATTGGAAAGAACTACCTTATTCAGCCTTTTGAATAAGAAGAACTTGGTCCAGCTGTAATGTCACCTACTTACTCTTTCATTAGTTCAAAAAATACTGAGCATCTATTACAAGGCAGGCATTGTACTAGGTGTTGGAGATTCTAAAGACAAACAGTAAAAGCGATGGTTTAAACAACCAATTACATCTGAAGGAGGCAAAAGTACTAACTGTAGGAGAGTGTCATGTTTGTACTTTTCCCTGTTGTTACCCCTTTCTCTGCTCTTTTTTTGTATTTTTTTTTTTTTATTTTTGACAGGCAGAGTGGACAGTGAGAGAGAGAGACAGAGAGAGAAAGGTCTTCCTTTGCCGTTGGTTCACCCTCCAATGGCCGCCGCTGCAGCCGGCGCACCGCGCTGATCCGATGGCAGGAGCCAGGATCCAGGTGCTTTTCCTGGTCTCCCATGGGGTGCAGGGCCCAAGCACCTGGGCCATCCTCCACTGCACTCCCTGGCCATAGCAGAGAGCTGGCCTGGAAGAGGGGCAACCGGGACAGAATCCGGCGCCCCAACCGGGACTAGAACCCGGTGTGCCGGCGCCGCAAGGTGGAGGATTAGCCTATTGAGCCACGGCGCCGGCCCCTTTCTCTGCTCTTAAATAAGGATAGTATCCATGAAGAGCTACAGAAAACAAAATAAAAAACATAAATATTAGAGAGAATAGTATGTACAAAGGAAAACGGACAAAATGATGAGAACAAAGCAGTATGTTTGAAATTGGTGGTGTCCACTATTTACCTCATGTCTAGGGGGCCAAGATGAAGCTGAATATAACACAGTAGAGGTCAAAGGAGGGAGAGATTTGAATATAGGAGGAACCTTAAAGGTCATGTACAATGCATATGATGAAGAAACTATGCATGGATTTCAAAAACGTTTTGCACCAAAACTCATCTTTTAATTCCATTTTCCACAAGTTATTTAAACTATCTTCCTATACATTTCTGTCTTAAAAGAAAACCACTTTGACAGTGGTGTGGAGGATAGAGTAGAATGCAGTGAAATAATCCATGAGACTAGACAGAAAATGTAAAAAAAAATTGTGGTAAGGAGATTGGAAGAAAGCAAGCTTTTCCCCTAGGGTTTTCCTGTATAATCTGCTCTTTCACTTACAGTGTGCATTGATGGGAAGGTATGTATAGATGCTGCACATTCTCCTCTCTCTTCCTAAATTTACCCCAAGTTCATTTTCTTCAGGCTAAGAATTAAAGGTGTTATGAGACATAAGTAGCATTTTTAGCCTTACAGAGATAAGTTGGGTATGAAAATACTAATTATCACATCAAAGTTCATAACTTATTGTAACAGCACTAAGTGTCACATCTTTTTAGATTCAGAGGTCATTTTCTCTAATTCATTCCATATTCCCTTATTTTCTACCTTCTATAATTGTACTTACCAAACAATTCAGACCTCAACTCTTCAGTAACAGACTATGGAGAGGGCCATCTGTGACCCTGACCTCTTCCCCCAAGTTAAGCTTATAATAAAAAATCTCATCTCAGGTTTCTCATCCTTGACACTACTGACATTTGGGGTGGGATCCTTTGTTGTGGGAACTGTCTTGTGTACTGGACATGTAGCAGCATCTCTGGCCTCTACCCACTGGATGTCAAGAACTACCCTCAATTCTGACAACCAGAAATGACCCCTTGGTTTCCAAATCCACAACCCCAGGTTAGCACTGCAATTCCAAGAGGTGAGCATTGTTGAGGATTATCCAAAAACCTAAAAGCACATCAGAGACTACTGGGTATTCTTTTGTTGTATACTAGGTGCTGCCTAGCAGGCTGTGGATTATCTAAATTTCTAGGGGTGTGTATCTTTGACTCTGTCTTTGCTACTGATGTAGTTCTGTAAAGGTCAAGATTAATTTGAAGGAACTTAATACCTTTGAAAATAATTGTCAGCAGGCAGTACAAATTATTTCGAAGAGGTAATCCCATGGACTATTACTGTCTTGTAGAACATGAACCAGTTCCCTACCTAGTGATGTTTTCCTAACATCTTTTTAAAACGCCTTTTGTGATGGATATATAAACCTGTTCCTCAAATGCTTTTAAAAAATTGAGAGGCACAGAGACAGTGACAAGCAGAGAAACAGAGATCCCCCCCCAGAGGTTCACTCCCCAGATGCCCACAACAGCTGGTGCTAGGCCAGGCTGAAGTGAGAACAGAAAAACCAATGCAGATCTTCTACATGGGTGACAGTGATCCAGCTACTTGAGTCATCACCACATGTCTCTGAGGGTACACATTAGCAGGAAGCTACAATCTTGAGAGCAAAGCTTGGACTCAAACCCAGATACTCTGAGATTCAGGTGTCCTAAGTGGCATCTTGCCTGCTGTGCCAAACCCTTACCCCAAATTCTTATTTTTTCAAAAAGTAATTCATCACTCAGGACAAGACAGGCATCAAGTCTGCTGATGATAGGGTGTGTGTATCCATCCTGTGGCAACCACAAGATCAGACCACCTCAGGAGTTACACCTACACAGCAAGAACAAAGACCTAGCAAGGACATTACCTAAATCCCAAGTCCACTCCTGAATCTCCCCTGTGTTTGCTTCTGTACTCATACATCACCACTTCCTTGATCCAGGAGGGAGGGTAGTTTGGATAAAGATCCCCTACTTCTATTGCTTGGCCATGCAAATAATAAATTCTCTTTAGCAAAAGTTGATGTCTGCAAGTTTAGCTAAGAAGTACATCAGGCATGACTCCCTTAATCTGACTACACTGTGCACATCACCTATGCCAAAATGTCAGTTCCAGTAATATCTGTAAATTTTCAGTTGCCATTTGCCCTGCTTTAGTCCTGCCACACTCTGTACCAGTGTCAATGTGATACTGTCTTGTTTTCCACAGAGCTCCTCAAACATTTGGACTTGAAGTGATGTCTTTTCACATGCTAATGAGATGACTGGTAGTTCCTGGATAGCCTCTGGATGTGCACAGGCTCCCAGGGGAACCAATCAGTAATTAGGGGATAAAAATGTTACTCCCACCCTAACCTTTAGGGGGCTTCAAGGTGAGTTGATGGATCACCCAATGGCCAATGACTTATTAATCTTGTCTACCTAATGAAGCTTCCATAGAAACTGAAAAAGATGGGAGTTCAGAGTTTCCAGTTGCTGAATATATCTTATGTGCCAAGAGTGTGTGCACCCCAAATCCATGGGGACTTCAAAACCCTTCTGAACCTACCCTTGTTCTTCTGGCTCTTCATTTGTATCCTTTGTAGTATCCTTACAGTAAATGAGTAAAGATCAGTGTTTACTAGGATGCCTCAAAGAATTCAAGGAAACACCACCAGGGCATGGTTGGGAGAACTTCTATTTCTGGTTGGTTGGTCAGAAGCACAGGTCACAACATGGGACTGGCACCTGGAATCAGGGCAGTCCTGTGGGACCTGATGCTCTCTTGGTTGATAACATCAGAAGTGAATTGGATTATGGGACCCTCACCCCAGTGCTGGAAAACTGCTTGTTGTGGGAAAAGCCCACACATTTTGGTGGCCAGAATCGTTGAGTGACTGGGTGAGATAAAATGTTTTTCTTTAGCCAGTGCAGTGTAATCCTCTGCCTGCGGTGCTGGCATCCCATATGGGTACCTGTTCCGGTCCTGGTTGCTCCTCTTCTAGTCCTTCTCTCTGCTGTGGCCTGGGGTAGCAGTAGAAGATAGCCCAAGTGCTTGGACCCCTGCACCTGCATAGGAGACCAGGAAGAAGCACCTGGCTCCTGGCTTCGGATAGGTGTAAATGGCCGCAATGGCTGGAGCTAGAGTGAACCAACGGAAGGAAGACCTTTCTCTGTCTCACTGTCTGTAGCTCTGTCAAATGAATGAATAAAATCTAAAAAAAGTTTCTTTATAACCAATTAAAAAGCTGTCTTATTTCTGGTAGACAAGTAGAGAAAAATTGATGGTTTGTAGTAGACTAAAGGCCACACATTCTTTGACATTATTCCCATCAAGAACTGACCTTGAACTTGGGCTGGCCTGGACTATTTTTGCCAATGTACAATGATAGAAGTGACTTTATACCAATTCAGGCCTAGCTTTCAAGACAATCGGCACCTTTCCCTGACTCTTTTCAAACCCTTAACCTCCCACCCCAGAAATCCATCCTCCCTGCAGCAGAGACCACCATGTAGAGAGGCCCTGAGGTAGAGGGATAAGGGGCACAGCTACACACAGCCTTTCAGCCATCCTTGCCATGTGGGTCAAAGTTACTTTGGTGCCTCTAGAGCAACCTGGCTGCCAGCTGAATACCAAGGAACCCCAGAGGATACCATGTGAAGTAAGAGACACTCAGCGGAATCCTTTCTGAATTCTAGAAACACCAAGTTATGAGATTTCAATAAAATGGTTTCCATTTTAAGTGACATTTGGGATGGTTACAAAGCAATGAACAAGCAGAACGGTCTTTCACAGGTAAATTTATTGTGCCATGATTTTGTCAAATGGAAGAATCCATGTTTAGCTATAACCCACACTAACTTCATACCACCTTAAAGAAAATTAAACCTTCCCCCCTCCCCACAGAACTACAGAAATTGTTCATCATAAAAGTAGGCTCCCATTTCTAATGAAACTAGTGATTTTCAAATATTAGTGTGCATAAAGAATTGCCAGGGAAATTAAAAATGCTGGGTCCTAAAGACTATTACTTATATGTTCAGCTTCACTATATCTGGTATGCTAAGTAATCTGCATTTTAAGACAGCACCCATGTGACTTTGACACTGGTCATCAAGATCATACATGGAGAAGCATTCCAATAAAAAGAGCCAGAGATAGTGAGGCTGTGAATTAAGCCTAGGCAGTGGGAATTGAACAGAAAACAAGACACTTTAATCTTCTCTATTCCCATCTTGGAGCCTCAATTCTGGCCTTCTCTTATGAGTCCTTAACCTTTGTATTCAATTAAAAATATCTTACACTTTTCAGAAAGCTTTAAGTTTCATTTTATTTTAGCCTCTCCAACTATGTGTGATGTAGAATGAACATTTTACAGAAAAGTGACTACCTTATGTCTAACAGATGTCAAGTGTTATCTCTGTGGGACTACATTATCTAAAGCTAAGAAACAGACCCTGTTACTCTGAAGTTTTTCTGATTTTTTTATGGGATGTCAGATTCTTCACATGAGAAACACTGCTACCAGGACCCATCTTCTTCACTGCTATCATTGAACTGCCACCAAGACCCATCATCTTCATTGTGATCGTTATAGTCTGGCTTAATGACTAAATGTGGATTCTTAAGTGTCACAGCTTCCAGCAGCTTCTGGGCTTCCTCATCAAAGGCCTCTTTGCACAACCTGAGAAGACAAGGGAATGTCTCTTCTTGCATTCAGTTTCCTCACAGCCCTCCACTTTCTCTGAAAAAATTACAGGGGGTAAAACAAACCAAAAAACTACCCTGTAAAATAAAAGAGTATTAATATGGATGGGGAGTTGCAAGGGGAACAGAGATACAGTGATGGAGATAGAACAATTAAAGAAAAATTAAATATAGAACAGATTAAAATGAAAAATGATCCTCTAGGAGCTTTTTTTGTACAAACAAAATACTACCAGTACTACTAATGATAATGAAGACAACAGCTAACATAATCCATGTTTTTATTACTACGCTATGTACTGTTCTAAGTACTTGGTCTATATTGACTCAGTGATCATCACAATAACCTTATATGTAGATTTTTATCATTTTATCCATCTTACAGATAAGGAAACCAAATCACAGGTCAGGGAACTAGCTTAAATTAAACATTTGGGGGGCAGGTGTTATGGTACAGTGAGTTAAGCTGCTGCTGGGGATGCCTACCTACATCCCATTCTGTAGTGCCTGGGATTCAATCCTCATTTCTGATACAGCTTTCTGCTAGTGCATCTGCGAGGCAGCAGGTGATAGCTCAAGTAGATGGGTTCCTGCCACCCATGTGGGAGACCTGGATGGAGTTCCTGGCTTCTGCCCTGCCCAGCCTCAGTTGTTGCAGGCATTTGAGGAGTAAATGGAAGATCTCCCTCTACCTCACTCTGCCTTTCAAATAAATAAACTTTAAAAATATGTAATTTGTAAATACCACTCATTATCCTGTGTATTTTAAAAAAAGACACATATACTTAGTTGGTAGGGCCAGAATTCAAAAATCAGATCATGTGGCTCCAGAATGTTTAACTCTTCACTACTATGCTGTATTACATCTCTCAAAATCCAGTGTTCTATGAGACAAAGACAAGTGCCATGAAATACCAGAGGATCCACAATCAGGTTGATAATAAGGCCTGCAATAAACGAATGGCTCTTCATACTCCTTATTACAAGAAATTCTCCCTCTGAAAAGCCAGTGAAGACTTACCCTAGAGTTTGTAGTTTACATTGTGGAGACCTCAATACTTCACATAACTTCTTAATCCCTTCAGACCCTAAGGGATTCTGTGTCAGATTAATTTTTCTCAGTCTTTGGTTGCTGATAAGAGTAGAGGAGAGATCCCGACAACAGAGAGAAGTCAAACCACAGTATGCCAACCTACAGGGAAAAGACAAAAGATAAACATAATTCTATCACATTGCAGAGAACAAGCACATGGAGGATAATTCCAGAAACTTTAAAAAAAAATGAGCAGTTAGGGTCAATTCAAAGACCATAAATATTTATAATATTCATTTATAGGCAGAGAACGTCCTTCCCTGAATCATTAGTTACAAATTGATTATGGTCTAGGGAATAGATAAAATATACAGGTACACAACGTCCTATGAAGCAGTTGAATCCTTAAACATTAAAATTATAAAAATAAGATTTTATAAGCTTGCTATTAAGTATTTTAAAAGGAATAATGAGGTATCTAACACCACACTATTCGTGTCAATAAAAATGCATAGACCCAAACCAATATTACACCTTTCTGAAGGGCAGTCAGCTGTTTATAGGTGGGAAGGAAAATTGCCAACGGAGATCAATTAACAAATTAAACAGCCAGTCCACCAAGAGCCCTTGAACAAGCCTACAGTAGAGTAATACACAAATAAGCCTACTAAACTCAGCTTCCTGCATTTGATGTTCCCTAGACCAAATTTGAACTTACTATTCATCTTATAATTATCTAGTCATTGAACAACTGTATACCTATATAAGTAATGAACATATAAAACAGATTTTTTTTTAAGTCCTGCCTACTCATAACTCATATTAATGTGGTGGAGAGATAGTCCCACCAATTAAGATACAAAGTATGCAGATATTGCAGAAAATACACTTTAGGATAAAAGAATTATAAGACAAAGAATTATCAAGAATGTATCATAAAACATTTAGAGTTTTCAGTCACAAATAACAGTCTCAAAATACAGAAAACAAAAACCAAGTCAGACAGAAATCTAGAATTATAAGAGAGATTTTAATATTTCTCATAGTAATTGTTTTGTAAAAATACCACTAAAATATAATTAAGAAAACATTTAACAATCAACTGATACAGAATACTGCTAAAACAACTCGGCATAGACTTTTTAAGTACACTTTGGAACATATAAAAAATTGGGTCATGAAGTAAATGTCATCAAATCTAAAAAACTAAAATCATGTACAATATGTTCTCAAACAATGCTAGAGATTAAAAATATATAAAATAAGAACACCCTTATGTTTGAAAATTAAGTGGTACATTTTAAAATGATCCAGGTGTTAAGGTGTTAAATTTTTTAAGAGTATTTTAGACTGAAAAATAACAAACTGTATATAATAGTGAAACTTGTAGGATGAAGTTTTTTGCCATGATTTGAAGGGAAATCAAAGTGTGTTGGAAAAGAATGGTGATATACACAATAAGCATCCAACTTGAGACTTCAGAAAAATGAATAACAAAAACAAACCCCAGGGAAGTAACAGACATAAAACCAGAAATAAAGTTTTATAAACTATACGTAGAAAGGATTAATGTGTTTTTTTGAAGAGAAAAATAACATGAGAAAAGGCTCAAGTTGCCAATATCAAGAATGGAAAATGATACATCACTACAGATTATTTAAAATCTAGGCAGATAATATTAGACATTTGCCAGTAAGTTTTAAAATCTAGATGAATAAAATTTAACTTTACTTACCAAAAATTAGAGAAAACCAAAGTAAAACTGTTAAAAATTAAATAGAAGTCAAATAATCTACACATAAAACTCAGTTTAGATGGTTTCACCAGAAATTTTTACAAAATTAAAGGAAGAAATAATTTTAAGAACACACCTAAACTCATTTTGTGAAAATAATTTTGATACAAAAATTTGATGAGGCCTGCACAAGAAAATACACAGTATCCATTATGAATAAGGATGGTTAGATACTCATACTGTTTTGAAAAAAAATCACATGATGTATATAAGAAATACTGTGACAGTTTTAGCCCCACCAAAACCAAGGTTTATATAATCAATCAGTATCATTCACCACATGTGGCAAATTTCTTAGCTCAATATCTATTCATGATATAAAAGGGAAAAAAAACTAACTGGGTAAAAAAGAGAACTCCCTTATATTGATAAATGAGTAAGCCACTGAAATTTTTCTTTCAACACTGGGAACTTAAGGAAGCCTACTTTGACCAGATATATTAACATTTTGTCACATAGTAATACTTAAGACAATTCAAAAAAAGATATTAGGACAGAAAAGGAAAAAAAAAAACCACCATTATCCCAAATTATGTGACTGTATACTTGGAAAAATCCAAGAGTCTAATTAGAATCAATAAGAGAAAATAACTGGATATTATACATGAAATCGTTCAAAAACAAACTTTATTATATAAGGAATAAACAATCATTTACAGTAGCATCGAAACATAGCAAAGACTTTGGGATAAAAGTTAAAACAAATTACAAGGCCACTTAAGAAAATTACTAAGGTTTACTGATAGATCTAAATACATAAGGATAGGGGCCAGCACTGTGGTGTAGTGGGCTAAGCCTCTGCCTGTGGTGCTAGAATCCCATGTGGGTGCTAGTTCAAGTCCCGGCTGCTCCACTTCCGATCCAGCTCTCTGCTATGGCCTGGAAAAGCAGAAGATGGCCCAAGTGCTTCGGCCCCTGCTCCTGGTTCCCAGCTTCACAGCAGCTCAGCTCTGGCCATCACAGCCCTCTGGGGAGTGAACCAGCAGACGGAAGACCTTTCTGTCTCCCTCTCTAACTCCACCTCTCAAATAAAATTAAAAAAGGAATAAATACATAAGGATAAATACCATGTGGTATATCAGGAGACTCAATGGATAAGTCCAATGCAATTCTAATCAAGATGCCAGCATACTGGTAGGTTGAGAGTAATGCATATGCACTTCTGTGCAACTTGATAAGTTGATATTTAAAAATTTGAAAAGATAAAGAATAATGAACATTTTCATGCAAACTTTTGCTGGAAAAAAATGACTACCCATATAGGAAAAAATATTAAATTGGATTTGACCAATGAATACCCATGTAAGAAAACATTAAATTGAACTTGGTCTCCAACTGTAATTTTAAAGGGTAAATTTAAGACCCAAAAGCTTAATGATTTGCCTTTGAACTTTAGGAGATAATACAGAACATGGAATTTGAAGTGTGGAATATATTAGGTTTCTATATGTGTCATACAGATGCTTTTGTGTCTCTACCATCTGATCCCTCTGGACCAAAGGTCTAAGTAGAAATGGAGGATCACCAAAGAATAAGTGAAGTTTTAGCCTCCAGGATGTGACAGTGATTTTATGATCGTCAAAGAGCAACAGCAATATTTGGGGCAGGAACTAAGAAATGGGAGGTATAGGGCGGCGGGGGGGGGGGGGGGACAATTAATGCTGTTTTCCCCTAGATCCAATACTGCAGCCTAGCAAAATAGTCATGTGGTCAGTGTGAGTCAAGCAGCAGCTGCAGCTGTCAGACGACTGCCTGACCACCTGCTACAGAGAAAGAAAATGTCATGTGGACATTAGCAAATCCTGAACTATTCTATGCCTGATGCCATCAATGGCAGCCCCCTTCCCCAGTGGACCCTTACTATATGTACACAAACACAGCAACCAGTGTGAACTTATTTCAATCTGTCTGACATAAACTTATCTGGATGTCATAACAGTATTGAGTTATATTATGTATGGAGAACCAGGCAGGTACAACTACCAGTGATACTGTTCACCTAGCTCAATCAAACCAGTGTAATGGTGACCCAAATCAGATACGAAAAATCCCAAACTAATGACCTGGGTTATACAAGCTGCTTCAATTAATTCCATTTTCCATGAACCTTTTGAAGCCCAGGCTTATGCTTGCATGTGGTAAACTGTGAATCACTGAAGGTTTCTCTGTTGGTGATGACCCATCTTTTGCCTCCTATGTTGGCAGGGCATTCCAAACTTCCTTTCATGGGTCAAAATGAATAAAATGCCAATTAGTTCTTCCTGAGACTTACTCAAAGGCTGACTCTGAGTAGGGATGCAATTAATATTGCAAAATGGGTTAAAGCTGTGCTTGGAATTTTATTGATCATGGCCTCAATTATATGGTTTATTAGATTAGCCAGATTGGCCAATGGAGCGCTATATTCATACAAAACCCACCAGAAGCCAAGATTATGGTGTAGAAACAAAGGGTGCATATTGTTGGGGGACATTCTTCCATGGGTCTTTCATTTTCTATGAATTGCTAACAGAAAATGCAAAGCCCTGATACCTCTTTACCTAGGCCACTTCCCAGAGTTGTATTTGTAATAAGCAACTTTGAGAGACAAAGTAACATCCCTCTCTAGGACAAAGAACATGTTTGCTTACTGCTTGCTATACAGAATGGATGAGTCCCTTAAACTCAGTGTTACTCATCTGGAGGTAGCCTCCTGTAGGTATAAGCATGTATCTGGGTTCACAGCAGCTGTGCAAGATGCAAGGTACAAGAAGAACTAACACACACATGCTAATATTCATGTTCTTCCTGTAAGTAATAAAGTCCTGTGTCTGACGGAAGTCTCATTCTTTCTGCCATCACACATGAAACAATGATAGGCTAAGTTATTAGGCTATAAATAGGATAAATTAGATCTCAGACCCAATAATTACATGATCAGTGTTATGATAAAAATGTATAAGTGGACCAGAAATAAAAGCAGCACTTTCTTGGAAGAGTCAAGAAAAATTTCTCTAGGAGAATACCAAATTCCTAAAGATCTATCATCACTTCTGGATTTCCCACATGAACACAATTCTTGACCCACAGGTCAATAACTCATGTTGTAAAGGTGAAAATGTACTAACCAATATCAGTCCAGTATTAACTAAAGTCTAAACAATACTGAACATAAGTAGTACCCAAAATAGGATGGAATTTTATTAGATTGTAAGATCCTTGACAACTTGGGTAGTAGTTTACTGATAGAAGATGATGATTAAAATCTTCAACTTAGCAAGAAAAAGGCACTAAGGGGTACAACGAAGAAATGTGAAATATGGCTTCTATACAGAAGAATATGTAATATATTGTTCCACGTATCTGAAGTCCAAATTCTTATTTCTGAGGGTAATGTACCTTCTAGTCCCATTTAATTTTACTCTCTCCATATACTACACTTCTTGATACATTATCAGTTTGGTATCATTTTCCTAATGGAAAACTGAACTCACCCAAGCTTCTGGATGTTACAGTTTGGATGTCTCAAAGCGTCACACAGAATTTTCACTCCACCATCCTGCAAGTTATTGTTCCCAAGGTCCATGCTCCAAATATTTGGGTTGTTCAAAATAGCAGAAGCCAGATCCAGACAACAAGCACTTGTAATAGCACAACCCACTAATCTGCAAGAAATACAAAAGACAAGTCAGCCACTAAGTTGTGAGGATTAAGTTCCTCTTAGAAGAGATGCTCAGGTAGTTGAACTCTTTTCTGACTCTATCTACAATCCAGTACACACTTGATCAGGTCTAATCTTACCAGTATAAATGAATGCAATTTTTTCTTTTTCCAGTTGTGAGGTAGAGGGACAGGGAAAGAAACAGTGTACTGTCTAATCACTGGTTCATGCCCCAGAGGCCTACAATGGCTGGATATGAGCCAGGCTGAAACCAGGAGCTGGGAACTCAATCTAGGACTCCTCTATGAGTAGCAAGGACCTACTATTTGAGCCATTACTGCTGCCACTCCGGGTCCACATCAGCAGGAAGCTGGAATTGAGGGTGGAGCCTGGATTCAAAATCAAGCACTCTGTCAAGATATGTGGACCTCTTAACTATTAGGCCACATACCTACCACAGATGGGATTTGTTAACAAGAAAGTAGAGGTTAAAACCATTTTCTCCCACAAACAGATTACGTACAGATATTTCAAAATCAAGGGCATAAATAATGATTTACTAGTACTTAAAATTGATATAAAATTTATCTAGGAATCCACAGATCTGTTTTTAGTTTTTAATTTTTTTTTTTTTGACAGGCAGAGTGGATAGTGAGAGAGAGAGAGACAGAGAGAAAGGTCTTCCTTTGCCGTTGGTTCACCCTCCAATGGCCACCACGGCTGGCGCGCTGCGGCCAGAGCACCACGCTGATCCGAAGCCAGGAGCCAGGTGCTTTTCCTGGTCTCCCATGGGGTGCAGGGCCCAAGCACTTGGGCCATCCTCCACTGCACTCCCTGGTCTCCCATGGGGTGCAGGGCCCAAGCACTTGGGCCATCCTCCACTGCACTCCCTGGCCACAGCAGAGAGCTGGCCTGGAAGAGGGGCAACCAGGACAGAATCCGGCGCCCCGACCGGGACTAGAACCCGGTGTGCCGGCACCGCTAGATGGAAGATTAGCCTATTGAGCCGCGGCCCTGGCCTAATGTATTTTTGAAATAAAAAAGCTTCCTAGCAATCGCAGAGTCTTAACTCCCAAGAACAAAGGAATCCACAGGTAAGATTTTTTTCAAGGTCTCTGCATGGCATTTAAGAGCATTCACAATCTGGCCTCAATCTTTCTTTCTCTTTCCGTACTTTCTTTTCCCCCGATTCTCTAACCATACAAATGGATTTCTCTCCAATTTTACTACATCTGCTGCTTTTCTCTTATTATTTCTCCATCCTCTTCATCCTTCAAACCTTAACTAGTTCTGCTCTACTATATGAAGGCCCACTCCTTGTAACATTTGGAATATATTGTAATTGGTTGTATATTTACTTTCTTGCAATCATTCTGTATTCCTTGAAGACCATGGCCTTGCCTTTGTGCCCTTAAGTTTCCTTAGCATCTATCTCGTATTTGTTGCCTGTGTTGTTGAAAGAATTGGCATGGCTGCATAGAAGCTATTAAGGTAGTAAGAAAGTGCAAATTTGTCTATATGTTTACAGTAATGCTAAGAAGAGAAGGTGAACTGAGCAAAGACCTTGAATATTTAGGGCACTTAGAAATTTTCGGTATTTAAATGGAGGCTTTAGATTTCATATCATCAGTAAAATTTGTCTTCCAGTTGAAGAACAAAGAAATTGCATAGAATCACATACTGGCACACATCATATATTTCTTCAAAGAACTACAGGTGCTTATTGAACATGAGGGTTTAATCACCTTAGTGTTTACAGATGTCATAAGAACTTCTGGGTATACCAAGGAGCTTAATTTTATGGTAAAAAAAAAATCTCTGCTTGGGTTAGACGCTCAGCAACTTACCCAAGCTGTTTGTCCTAACTGAGGCCCTAATGGGAAAGTAAGCCAAGATTGCTGTGACACCTCTCTAGCTTCACTGTAGCAATACTCACATGATGAAATGTTAAATATCAGTCATTAAAATAACCAATATTATGATTTAAAGCATTTAAATGTGTTTCTGAAATACTACTGAAAAGGAAGTCATTTCTATACACATATATACACAAACCATTCATATATATGTAGATATACTCAAATTAAGGAGTATGATAGGAATAAAACAGTCTGTTATTTAAAAATAGACTATAGGGTATTTTTATTTTATTTGTAGGGTATTTTTAAAATCCTCTTCCAGTTTGAAAGTTGGCCAAATTAGAAACCTGAGCTTAAATAAACTATACCTATGTAATCTATTCTCTTTATATTAATAAAAAATTAAGTTAAAAATATAACCTGAAACACAAACTAGTAAAGCACAATTTCAGCATCACAGACATAAAGACATAGTAGATTCACCTGGGTATGACCAACGAAAACATAAAATGACTACCATTCAGCTCGACACCTCAGGTCCTCTTTACCCAAGGAAAGCTAACTACAATAACTGCAATAATTCTAATATTTGTTTGAAAAAAAAATGGAGTCAGCATGAGAGAGAAAGAGAGAGAGAAAGGACACCATCTGCCAGTTTATTTCTCAAATGCCCACAATAGCCAGGGCTGGGGCCAGGACCAAGCAGAAGATGAGAACTCATTCTGCTCTTCCACATGAGTGACAGGGACCCAAGTATTTATTCAATCACCAGCTGATTCCCAGGGTGCACATTAGTATGAAGTTTGCGTGGGAAGTGGAACTAAAACTCAAATCCAGGCACTTCCATATGGGATATGGGTGTCACAAGCAGTGTTTTAACAACTGTGCCAAATGTTTATCCCATATAGTAATTCTTTATAAACATATGATGAACAAACTTCCCCAGACTGTCTCAGGCAGAATGACAAAAAGAGTATACATAAGACAAATATTCTTTTCTCAGTTTTCAGCCTTTCTGTGTCTCCCCTGTCCTCACAAACATCTTATAGTTGGAACCACATGAAAGTCAAGTTACAGAAAACCTACTCCACATCCTGAAGACTGCAGCTTGGATGCCGAAAGACATCACACAGAAGCTTTGCTCCTTCATCTTGTAGGAAGTTTAATGCCAGGTCCAGATGTCTCAGGCTCTTATTGTAGAGAAGAGAAGTGGAAAGACATCTGCTGCTAAGTGAAGTCAAATGGCAGCGCCTCAGCCTATAGGAAGGACAATGTCAGGAGAGATGGATCATCGCTGTACTGCCCAAAGACATACTTTCAAAAAGGTTTCATGTTACAATCCCTTGTCTACTGCCAGCACTCCATCTCATATCATTCACCATCACTCCCAGCCTCTCTCATTTGGGACATGTAGGTTTACAACAATTTGGACTACAAACTAAATTCATGTTCCTTATCATAAATCAAGTATTATTTACATTGCACAAAAATACATAGCTGCATGGAATAGCTGAGGAGCCAGATGAAGTAGAATAGGCATAATCATAAAGTATGTACCCTTTGTTGTAATCAAAGTAGCACTCTGAGTTTGTAAGGAAAAGGAATATTATGGCATTAATATTTTTGTACAACATATCTTCTATATGGGGGAAAGAAATTTAAGCTTTGTATCTAAACTTAGGATAATTGAACATGTAAAATGTTAAAAATTAAACCATATAGAATAGGGGATGACTTTAATAAAAGGAAAAGTGTGTGTAATTTTGATAAAACCTCTAGAAGTTATGAAGCAGAATCTGACTCCACAAAATTCTATATTCTAAAAAATGATAAAGTGGTAAATAAAGCAATAACAAAAAGTATTTGACTTAAATAAAACAGCAAATAATATTTTTAGCTGTATTTTATAACATGCAACAGAAAAACATCCACAAGAAAACAGCCTATGGAGAGGCAATTCCTAGAACTTAATAGGCCAAAACACTTGAAAAGATGCTCAACATCAAATTACTTCAAAAGTTATTTTTGAACTATGTAATTAATACTGATCAGAAAGATTTTGACTCCCTAGTGAGGGTTCTAAAACTCAGGGCCCTAAACTACCGCTGGGAATATAAGCCATCCACATGGCAGGTAATTTAACCATATCTGACAAAAACCATGCTTCATTAATTCCATGTCTAGGAAATTATCTGACAAAAATGAACAGATTAAACACACTGTGATCCAGCCACATAGTGGCTGTCGTATTTGTGTTTAGTGCTGTTTACGTATTTACATGGTCATCATAGCCCAGATTATGCAGTTGAACAGATCAGAGATGTTAGTTCTGTTTTTTTGTTTTGTTTTTGATAGGCAGAGAGAGAGAGAGAAAGGTCTTCCTTCCATTGGTTCACCCCCCAAATGGCCACTATGGCCGGCGCTCTGCGCCGATCCGAAGCCAGGAGCCAGGCGATTCCTCCTGGTCTCCCATGCGGATACAGGGCCCAAGCACTTAGGCCATCCTCCACTGCCTTCCCAGGCCACAGCAGGGAGCTGGACTGGAAGAGGAGCAACTGGGACAGAATTCGGTGCCCCAACTGGGACTAGGACCCGGGGTGCCAGCGCTGCGGGTAGAGGATTAGCCTAGTGAGCTGTGGCGCCGGCTGAGACTTTAGAATTCATCATTTTCTTGTGAAACATTAGGCAAGTCACATTATCTTTCTAAACCCCATTTTCCTCACCTATACAGCAAGGTACCTACAACTCAAATGGCCAACTTGACACCATTAGGTACCATTGTATATAGATAAAAAAGAAAAAATCGGGTACAGCGTCCAGAAATGACACAATAAATGGTCATTACTAATATCATCATCATCATCTTATCATTAAGGTAAATAGCAGGAAAAAGCAAACGACATAGGTTCCTATTATTTGCCCATTTTAAATACATTTTTAAATGTTTATTATACCAGAAGAACGAAAACTGGTAGTTACTTACACAAGGCTCTGTAGAGTACACTGTGGGTGCTGCAAAGCATCACTCATAAACTTTACTCCACCATCTCCTAAGACATTATCTGTCAAACATAAATGTGTCAGCCTTGTATTGGTGATGAGAGCCAAAGAAAGATCCTCACAACCAGCTTCTGTGAGGCCACAGCTTTCTAAGCTGCAAACACAAGATAGGAAGGGATCTGTCAATTCCAAGTTCATGCTTCTCTTCTTCAGGGGGAAATTAGCTGTCGCCCACAACCCTATACCTGTACTAAGAATCAACCTGAACACATTTCCTTAGATTCCATTGCAGCTGTGTATAGGGTATGCTGAAACAAGACACAGAAGGGGAGAGGAGAAGCCTAGATGAGAATGAAAGTAAGAGGTCAATCAGAAAGAAATGTTTCCAAAAGTCGAGTCAAAGAAGAAGGAAATAGAGGGAGACAAGTGGGGTGTATACAGATCTCACACAGAATTGACAGATGAGCTGGTCAGTGTCAGGACCCAGACAGTTTCCCCATTCAGATCATAAGTAAGCTATGCGGAACTGAACAAAACAACTCACGACAGTCTCTCCAGAGGACACTTCGGGTGTCTTAAGGCCTCACATAACAGCTTCACTCCGTCATCTAACAGATTATTGGTTGACAGATTCAGAAATCCCAGACTCTGGTTTCTAATAAGAGCCTTGGATATATTTAAACAACAAACTGTAGTTAGGTCACAGGACTCTAATCTGGAAAAAAATATAGAAAAACAGAAATGATCATTTCCCAGAAAAGGATTACAGTCACCATCCAGTCATCAGACCCTGCCTGAAAATCAAGCTGCTCCATGTAGAATAGGAAGTATTTCACTAAAGCATTAGGTTTTGATAGAGTTAAGGAAGGGAGAGGAAGAATCTTATCTCTCCCTTCTCCAATCCCCTGTGAAAATACATATGAAAGATTTTCAAAAATCTTTAATTGATGACAGACTTTAATCTATGAAGAATTCCCTCAAACTACATCTTAGAAGATAATCTAAGGATGACTGAACACTTGTACACTGACTTCTGAGACATAAGAGAATGACTGGAAGTCAAAAGCAGAAGTTGCAACCCTCACAAGCTCATTTGTTTATGGGAGTCAACTCATGATTTCTGAGGAACCCAGTCTTTAAGACTAAAAACAAGAATTAAACCAGAAATAAAACTGTTTCTGGGGCCGGCGCTATGGCGTGTTGGGTAAAGCTGCCACCTGCAGTGCCAGCATCCTATATGGGCGCTGGTTCCAGTCCCAGCTGCTCCACTTCTGAGCCAGCTCTCTGCTATGGCCAGGGAAGACAGAAGATGACCCAAATCCTTGGGCCCCTGCACTGGTGGGGAAGACACGGAAGAAGCTCCTGGCTTCTAGCTTAGGATTGGTGCAGCTCCGGCTATTGTGGCCATCTGGGGAGTAAACCAGTGGACGGAAGGCCTTTCTGTCTCTCTCTGCCTCTGCCTTTCTGTAATTCTGCCTTTCAAATAAACACATAAATCTTTTTTTTTTTTAAAGAAAACTTTCTAAAAATACAGCAAGGCAGATACAGCAGCATTAAAAAGGGGTATGGAAGAAATAAGTATTAGGAGCATATAAGCCTTGTTCTGTTCATCCCTGCTATGTCATAACAGTGGATATAAGCTAGCTCTCTGAACAGCAAGTCCAGGATGGTAGAGTATTTGAACAAAAATCTCAGTTGCAATGAAAAGCTCAAAACTTACCTCAGACTCTGCAGTTTACACCTTGGGTGTTTGAGAGCTTCACATAAGGCCTTTACTCCATTATCCCCTATATCACTGCCAGTCAGGTCCAGGTGCATCAGATGCTGGTTCTGAGTCAGAAAGTTAGAGATGCCCAGGCAACCATCAGGAAAGGAGACAAATCTCAACCTTCAAAAGAAAAATATGCAGGAGGCTTTACAAAAATCATTTCTGTCTCTGATTACAATAATCCCTTTCTTTTCTATCTAAATCTTGGATATTATATCAATATTGCCTTATTTTACTCTCATCTCTTATCTTACACTGGGTTTCTCAATGAAGTCAGATCATAAAACTGAGTTTTAGGATACTGCTTAGAAAATCAATTAGGTTACAACTTTGACTTCCATCTATAGCCTGACAATTGATCGATTTTTTAACATAAAAAAGGTTGATAACATCAGGAAAAGAAGAACAGGAGTCTCTTAGATCCTTAATCCATGAAAAGACTACCAAAATATTATTAGGGCCACTTAAAATACTGAAATTATAATATTAATTCATGGGGCCAGCGCTGCAGTGCAGCAGGTTAAAGTCCCGGCCAGCAGTGCTGGCATCCCAAAGGGGCACCAGTTCGAGTCCTGGCTGTTCCACTTCCAATCCACCTCCCTACTAATGTGCCTGGAAAACAGCAGAGGCTGGCCCAAGTCCTTGGGCCTCTGTACCCATGTGGGAGACCTGGAAGAAGTTCCTGGCTCCTGGCTTCAGATCAGCTCAACTCTGGCTGTTGCGGCAATTTGGGGAATGAACCAGCAGATGGAAGATCTCTCTCTACCTCTCTGTAACTTTCAAATTAATGTATCTTTAAAAATATGTTAATGTAAGGCTAAAGTATGGTGGCTAAGACAGAGACCCTTATATTCTAAAAGAGGAAGGCATTTAATCCAAAAGGAGGCACTGGCTATTGTTAGAGTTTGGTTTGGTGACACTAAGTGAATGAACAATGATAGGCAAGATATTTAGGGATGAGTATAAACGATTTCCAAGAATATTTTAGTCATGACATATATATACAATTACCTTACCACATCTATCTGCAAGACTGCAGTTACTCTAGTTACTGAACTCGAAAGTCAGCACTCACTAAATTGCTAAGATTTCTTAGGAAATATTTGGAGGAAGCCTGTTCCTCCCAAAAGCCCATCTATTTTCAGTGCCAATGGAAACAAGAATCTATCATTTTTTCAGCACCAAATGGACCTTGGGCACATTGAATAACTCTAAATACAAGGGAAATTAGAATCAATTCCAGCTCTAGGGAGATCCAGTAGACAATAGAAAAAGAGCTATATAAATAATTTTTAAAATGTGAGAGTATCTGGAATCACATTAAGATAAAGACTGACAACAGCAAATGTTGGCAAGGATGAGTAGTTCAAACTTTGACATATGTTACATTGCTGGAGGAACTAGGAAATCAAACAATCACTTTGAAGAACAGTTTGATGACTTCAAGAGTGTAACCAACATCCATGAACCAGCAATTCCATGCCCAAGTATTAGCTCACGAGTTGAAAACATGTCATAAAACAAGAAGACTTCTTATCAATACTAGTTTTGAATATAAATGGATAATTCCCCAGCCAAAATATTTAGATTGGTTGAATGTATAAAAAGCCAAGATCCAAATATATGTTGCCTATAAGAAAGTCACTTTACAAATAGAGATACACATAGGTGCAAAGTAAGGGGCTAGAAAAAGATATAGTAGGCAAATGGAAACCAAGAATGAGCAGGAGTAGCTTATACTAGTATCAGATGAAACAGACTTTAAGTCAAACACTTAAGAGACAAGCACATTATATATTGATGAAAGGATTGATTCAGAAAGGAGATATAACAACCATAAGCATATATGCATACAAAACAAGTCCACCCAGATACACACAGCAAACACTATTAGACCTAAAGGGAGAGATAGGCTCCAGTAGAATAGAGGGAGACTTCAACACCCCACTGTCATCCAGACAGAAAAAAAAAAAATCAGTGAAGATATCAGACTTGAATCACACTACTGAACAAATAGACCTAACACATTTACAGACAACTTTACAGAACACTTCACCCAACAGTTACAGAATACTACAGATGAAGCAGCACCACAATGAATAGTCTCTAGGATAGGTCATATATCAGGCCACAAATCAAGTCTCAACAACTACAAAAAGACAAACTATACCATGTATATTCTTAGATCATAGTGAAATAAAGCTAGCAATCTTACAAATACATGGAAATTAAACACGTTACTGAAATGACTGATGAGTCATTGAAGAAATTAAAAAGGAAACAATTTTCTTGAAATAAATGAAAATCTACCATATCAAAACCTGTGGGATACAGCAAAAGCAATATTAAGACAAGTATTTACAGCATTAAGTGCTTTTATTTAGAAAGAAAAGTTCAAATGATCTAAGGTTACATCTCGAGGACAGAACAACAAGAAAAAAATTAGAAGGAAGCAAGAATAAAGATCAGCACAGAAATAAACTGAAACTAAAAAAAAAATTAGAGATCAAAGTTTTGTTTTTTTTTCAAAAAAAACCTAAAGACAAACCTTTAGCCAGTCTGAAAAGCAAAAAGGAAACACTCAAAATTAGAGATAAAGGAGACATTACAACTGACATTACTAAAATAAAAAGGATCATGAGATAGCACTATGAGCAACCATACACTAACAAATTGGAAAACTTCAAAGAAATGGATAAATTCTTGCATTCACAGAATCTACCAAGATCAGAAAAAGAAAAAAAAAGACCCATAACAAAAAGCAATTAAAAATCTTCCATAAGGAGTCGGCCTTGTGGCATAGTGGGTAAAGCTACCACTGATGCCAGCATTCCATATGGGCAGTGGTTCATGTCTCAGCTGCTCTACTTCTGAACCAGCTCCCTGCTAATGGCCCAGGAAAGGCAGCAGAAAATGACCCACCACTTGGGCCCTTGCATCCACGTGGGAGACCCAGATGGAGCTCCTGGTTTGGCTTGACTCAGCCTTGGCCCTTGCGGCCATTTGGGGAGTGAACCAGCAGATGGAAAATTGATTTCTCTCTGTCTACCTCTCTGTCTTTCCCTCTCTCTGTAACAGCTCCTTTAAGGTAAATGAACCCTTAAAAAAAAAAAAATCACCCATCAAGGAAAAAAGTCCAGGATCTGATGGCTTTATCACTGAATTGTAGAAAGTATTTAAAGAGGAACTAGGTCCAGTAATTTTCCAACTATTCCAAAATACTGAGCAAGGTGGAACTCTGCAAAAATTTTTGTGAGTCAGTATCACTGATAACCAAAATGGAACAAAGACAACACACAAAAAAATTAGAGCCCTATATCTTGATGAACATAAATGCACACATTCTACTAGCAGACAAATCCAACACCGCATCACAAAGATCATATATCACAGTCAAGTGGGACTTATCCCTTGCAGAGATGGAAGGGTGGTTTAACATTTGCAAATCAATAAATGTCATTATCACATCAACATAACATTATCACATCAACATAATGAAGAACAAAAACCATAGTCATCAACAGATGTGAAGAAAGCATTTGGTAAGATTCAACATCTCTTTGTGATAAAAACCTTCACAAGTTAGATGTAGAAGGAACATACCTCAAAATTAAACAGGTTATATTTGTCAACCAACAGCCATTATCATATCAATGTGGAAAAGCTAAAGCACTTCTTAGATCGGGAGCAAGACAAGGACATCCACTTTCACGACTTTTATTCAATATGGTATTGCAAATATTAGCAAGAATAGTTAAGGAGGAAAAAGATAAAGGGCATCAAAATTAGTAAGGAGGTAGTCAAAATATCCATGTTTTCTGGTGACATGATGTTAAACGTGGAAAATCCTAAGCACTCCATCAAAAAGCTGTTAGAATGATAAACCAATTCAGTGAAGTTGCAGGTTACAAAATAAGCATATAACTCTGGCCTTAGAATCAACCCTTAACGCATTTGGATCTGGCTAAAAAGCCCATGAGAAAATTTCAGGCATGGAAAGCCAAGACACTGTGGCAAAAAATGACCTACATGAAAGATCTGAGTGAGAGCCCAGTGATAAGAAGGGGCCAAAGAAGGAGGTACCTTTCTCTGAAGGGAGGAGAGAACCTCCACTTTGACTATGACCTTGTCTAAATAAGATTGGAGTTGGTGAACTCGAGAGGCTTCCATAGCCTTGGCAGCTCATGACAAGAGCCTCAGGTGATTACTGATGTCATAAATGAGAGTGTCAATTGTTAAATCAACAACAGGAATCACTGTGCACTTGCTCCCCATGTAGGACCTCTGTCCTTAATGCGTTGTACTATGAGAATTAACAGTAAAACTAGTCTTCAAACAGTACTTTATACTTTGTGTGTCTGTGTGGATGCAAACTGTTGAAATCTTTACTTAGTATAGAGTTGATCCTCTGTATATAAAGATAATTAAAAATGAATCTTAATGAAGAATGGGATGGGAGAAGGAGTAGGAGGTGGGATGGTCTGGGGGTGGGAGGGTGGGTATGGGGGGGGGGGAAGAACCACTATAATCCAAATATTGTACTTAGGAAACTTAAATAAAATCTTTCTATAAAAACATAAATAAAAGCTTTTTTTATACACTAATGATGAAATCAACAAAAGGCAAATTTAAAAAATCCACTCACAATAGCCACCAAAAAAAATATTTACAAATAAATTTAACCAAAGTGAAAGAGCTCTACACTGAAAATTATAAAACACTGATGAAAGAAATCAAGGACAAAAAATAAATGAAATAAATGTTATTGCTCATGGATTGGAAAAAATGTCTGTACTACCTCAAGCAATCCTCATATGGATTCAGTATAACAATCAAAATGCCAATCACATTAAGAAATTAGAAAAAAAACATTCCTAGATTTCATATGGAATTACAAAAGACCCAGAATACCCAAAGTTATCCTGAGCAAAAATAATCAAGGTAGAGGCATCACAATCGCTGACTTTAAAGCATACTACAAAGCTATAGTAATTAAAACAGCATGGTACTGCCATAAAAAACACAGATCAATGGAACATAAGAGATATTCCTGAAATTAATCCATGTATATACAGCCAATTGGTGTTTGATAGCAGTGCCCAAACTAGAGAAAGGATAATCTCTTTGATAAATGATGCTGGCAAAATTGGATGTATGTGTGTCAAAGAATGGAATTAGATCCCTACCTTTTAACACTTAAAAAAAAAAAAAAAAAGATCAACTCAAGGTAGATCTAAGACCTAAATTTAAGATCTGAGGCTATAAATCTGGGGTTGAGAATGTACGAAAGTATTTCAAGACATCAGTGTAGGTGATGACTTCTTAGATGAGACCCCCCCAAGGTACAGGTAATGAAAAAAAAAACTAGACAAATGGGATTTTATCAAACAGAGAAGCTTCTGCATGGGAAAGGAAACAAAAGTGAAGAAACAGCTGACTGAATGGGAAAAAAAATCTGCAAACTATCTGACATAGGGTTAATATCCAGACTATAACAGCAATTCAAGAAACTCAGCAATAAAAAACCAATCCATTTAAAAATGGGCAAATGACTTAAATACAGTTCTCAAAAGAAATTTAAATAGTCAGGAAATATCTGGAAAAAAATGCTCAACATCACTAGCCATCAAGAAAATGAAACTCAAAACCACAATGAGGTATCACTTCACCCCTGTCAAAGAATTGTTATATCCCAAAGACTAACAAATGTTACTGAGGATGTGCAGAAGGGAAACTTTAAAAAATAGTTTTATTTGAAAGTCAGAGAGTCAGAGTCAGAGGAGTTAGAGAGAAAGAGAGAGATTGACCGATTTTCCACCCACTGGTTCACTACCCAAATGGCTGCTAAGGCCAGGGCCGATCCAGGATGACATGAGGAGCCTGGAATTCCTTCTAGGTTTTCCACATGGATGTAGGGGCCTAGCACTTGGGCAATCCAGTGCTTTCTCAGGCTTATTAGCAGGGAGCTAGATTGTGACTGGAGCATCTAGGAATTGAATCCGCATCCACACAGGTTGCTGGCATAGCAGAAGTTAGCTTAACAAGCTAAGCCCCAACACCGGCCCCGAAAGGGGAACTCTTGTTGATCATGTAAATTAGAGCAGCCACTGTGGAAAACACAGTATAGAGATTTCTTAGAATATTAGAAATATGCTTGTCTCATGATCCAGCAACCCCATTAGCTGGGTTTATGACCAAAAATCATGAATGAATTGTATCAAAGAGATACTTGCACCAACATGGTTTATAGCAGCACTATTCACACTAGACAAAATATGGAATCAACCAAGGTGGCCATCAGATGAATGAAGAAAAATGTGATACACACACACACTTTCTTGTGCACACAATGGACTAATATTCAGCCATAAGAGAATAAAATATTAACATTTGCATCCAAATAGATGCAACCGGAGAACATCATGTTAAATGAAATAAACCAGACACAGGACAAATACTGTATGTTTTCCCTGATATAGCAGTTAAAATTTAAAAAGGAAAAAAATTCCTGCATGTGTCAACATTGCTGCAAATAGTTTCAAACTTTGTTTTATATTTCTGAGAAACTAATAGTTAAGAATGTTATACTACTATAGTTTTAATTACCTGTGATTATTTTAAAACTGACTGTATATGAATCAAAAAGCAATCTATCTAAATGATTCTGAGAAATAAAGCTAATCTGTGGTGACAGAAATTAGAGAATGATTGCACTGGGGCTGGCACTGTAGCACAGTGAGTTAAGCTGCTGCCTGTGATGCCAGCATCCCACATGAGCGCTGGTACCAGTCCTGGCTGCTCCATTTCCAATCAGGCTCCTTGCTATTGTGCCTGGGAAAGCAGTGGAGAATGGCCCAAATGGTTGAGTGCCTGCACCCACATGGAGTCCTGAAAGAAGCTCCTGGCTTTGGCCTGTCTCAGCCCTGGCCATTCTGGCATTTGCACAGTGAGTCAGCAGATGGAAGAGCTCCCTCTGTCTCTCATTCTGACTTTCAAATAAATAAGTATATCTTCTTTAAAGAAAGTAAAATGATTGCACTACACTGGATGGGTTGAGAGGATTTCACAGAAAGGAGTACAGGAATTTTTGAGGGAATGGAAACATCATTTTGGTTGTTGACAAGAAAGTGTGAGAAAGTGAACATTTAATATCTGTATGATATTGAATGTAAACTCCTCCTCAACAGAAAAATTGTTTAGACTGTAAGTTCCAGAATATGTCACTGGAAGTGCTTTGTTGACCTGCCTGCAATGTCTCAGCTCTGCATTCCTTCTTCATCTCGAAAATTCTTTAAGTATGAAAACCAATGGGAACAGCTACATTGGAATCTGTGGAATCTTTCCCAAAACAAGTTATGCTACCATGTTTTTAGAATTTTCCATTACTCATTTTACACAACTGATGCTAAATACAGTCATATGTTGCCCGAGGATGAAATATACTGTGAGAGCTGTATTGTTGGGCTATTTCATCATTGTGCAAAGAATGTACTTATACAAACTAAAGAAGTTGCTAGGTGATGTAATCTTGTGGACCACTATCAGTGTATCTCAGGTCTGTCAATGATGGAAACATGATGTGGCATGTAACTTATTTGTTTACTATCGATTTCCCCTAACAAGTACAAGTGGAAGGTGACAGAGACAGAGAATTTGCAATAACTTCATTATATTTTCTCATGGCAGACTTACAGTAGCTTTTGCAGTTTACAGTTTGGGTGACTAAGTTCTTGATAAAAAATCCTCATCGCTAGTTCATCAAGGTTGCTATGGCACAGGTTCAGTTCTTTCAAGTGTTCATTTGTGTGAATCACAGAACAGAGATCTTTCCAGCAACGAATAATGAGATCTTCATCGTTTTGCCTAAATAATTAGAAGATGAAAAGACCAATTAATCTATTTCAGCCCAGGCAACTCTCAGAAGAGGGAATGGGGTAAAATTAAGTGTACTTCTGAAATGACAAAAGCATCCAGTGCAGCTTTGTCACAGGCACAGTCCACCAGGAAGTCTATCAGTGGGCACACCCGAAGTCTTTTCTGCCCACCAGCTTCCCTCCCTTCATTTCCTTACCACACAAAATAAGAGGGACTTTACTTTGGTGGGAGAGACTTATGAAGGACAAGACAGAAGTATTTAAATACCCAAAGAGCTAATTTCAAGAGAAAAAAAATAAGGCATGAGCACAAAGAGTAGGATGAAGACTAGTGGGTAGACATAAGCTATAATATGGTCTAGATTAACAACCGCGGGCTTTGAACACCAGGCCTACCAATTAATAGCTCTGTATTTTAAGGAAGTCACATCAGTTCTTTGAGTTTCAAGTTTTCTTCATCTATAAAATTATAAAACGGAAATGCCATCTCCCTTCACAGTGTTGTGAGGGTTTAATTATTAATTTCAGTGGGAACACAAAAGCATGTTGTATACTTTAAAAGTTTATGATTTAATTATTTGGATATCAACAGAAACGGAGAACTGTATTGTTGGCAATTTCATCATTGTGCAAATATCAAAGAATGTACTTATACAAACTAAAGCAGCTGCAAGGTGATGTAATCTTGTGGACCAGATTCACCATAAGTCAAATTCTTAGGGCTAATGTGAATATTTAGTAAGGCAATCTAAAGAAAATGCCAATGTCTAACATTGCAAGTGCTGCTAACAATTGGTAGCTTGTTTGCATTGAAATATATAAAAGGCTAGTGGATTGCCTTGTACCTCATATCCATTTCCATAGCTTACTTAAATGGAAATGAATGACACTGCAGACTATCATGAGGCCTTAAATTTGTGAAAACAAATAAATCATACATTCAAATATGCAAGTGCTTCTTATATATAAATACTATAGACATAGTGAATAAGAGATCCTGCCCTCATGAAGTTTACAATGGTGTTATGTTTTAGAAGAGACTGAAGTCACTTACTTTAGAATAGTAGGTTCTCAGATCCTTTTTAATTTCAGTAATAATTCCAACTCCTGTAGTAGTAATGCTATAACATAGGTGAGGGAAGCTAGCATGAAGACGGTCATTTAGTGGTAAGAATACCTTACCATCATTTATTATTAGGCATGCTCTACATTCTCACATTTTCTTTAGATGGAACTAGGGAACTGACTGAAAGACTTATCAAAATTCCTCCAAAAGGTTTAAAGTTATAGCATCCAAGCCCACAATTTTCACTGTCTCAGATCATAGAAAAATTAAATTTATAAGATAAGATTGCTTCTGAAATTTAATGGCTATCAGATAGCTCAAGTAAAGTTGGAAAAACAAGAATTTGCAATCAGATGAGTGACCTCTGTTAAGTTATAAGCCTTCTTGGTACCTGTTTTTTCTTTTGTGTAGAGCGAGACAGGCAGAGTTAGACAGTGAGAGACACAGAGAAAGGTCTTTTTCCAATGGTTCACCCGTTAAGTGCCTGCTACGGCTGGCGCGTTGTGGCTGGCGCCAATCCAAAGCCAGGAGCCAGGTGCTTCCTCCAGGTCTCCAATGCAGGTGCAGGGCCCAAGCACTTGGGCCATCCTCCACTGCCCTCCAGGGCCACAGCAGAGAGCTGGACTGGAAGAGGAGCAACCGGGACAGAATCCGGCGCCCCGACTGGGACTAGAACCCTGGGTGCCAGCACCACAGGTGGAGAATTAACCTAGTGGCCCACCTCACTGGTTTTTCTAAGGATAGAAATAACAGTATCTACTTCATTGGGCTGTTGGAAAACAAAATGAGTTAAAGGACTTAGATTGTCAGGTATGTTGTAAGCACTCAGCAGATGTTAGCTATTATTTTATGTGGGCTTGAATCAAGAATTATCAACTTTCTAGGTAAACCTCTCTGAATCTGGTTTGTAATCTTAATAAACTGAGGGTGTCAGCTCTGTGGCACAGCAGTTTAATCCTCTGCCTGCAGTGCTGGCATCCCATATGGGCACTGGTTCTAGTTCTGGCTGCTTCTCTTCCGATCCAGCTCTCTGCTATGGCCTCAGAAAGCAGTGGAAGATGCACCCACATGGGAGACTTGGAAGAAGCTCCTGGCTCCTGGCTTCAGATCAGTGCAGCTCTGGCCATTGCAGCCATTTGGGGAGTGAACCAGCAGATGAAGACCTTTCTCTGTCTCTCCCTCTCACTGTCTATATCTCTACCTCTCAAAATCTTTAAAAATATATATATATAAACTGAGATGTTTGCAATTAGCATTAAATTGCATGATATATTAAATATCCAACCCACTAAACTAAGATCTCAATCTTAGTTAAACCTAATTCACTAAACTGAGTTCCACAGTCCAATCCTCCTAGATTTAGATGGGCAGTCAGAAAAGGCTACTTGAAATGGACAGGGTAAAACAGCACACTTAATAAAATGAAGTTCACTTTTTAAAAAAAAAATCATTTAGCAACTACTATATTTTTACCTTTGACTCTCAGACTTAAAAGGGCAGAACACTTCAGAAACTGCAAAACAAAGACCAGCCTCTCTCTAGGTAACACAGATGTTGAGCAAGGTCAGTAGTGCACAGAGAACACAGTACACAGAAATGATCAGTGTACACTAGGTTTACCAAGAAATTTATGGGCCTTTATTCTTCTGGAGGAAAATATTTTTAAAAATTAAATATACCAACTGTAATGAATTAAAATTTGCATTATGCCACATTCCTCCTTGAGGACTGAGGCAGTCATTCCCTCGCGTTGCTGGGAGTACTGGCAGCTTAGAACTCAGTCCACACCCCAGCCTGGTGTTGCTCTCAGGCCAAGCCATATTAGGCCAGTTTTTGCCCATTCATTAAGGGGTTTAAATGCCTAATCTCTTTGCTTCCAAGTGGAGCAACTCTGAAGTTTTACTCCAGCTCTGGAACCTCAGCTCAACAGTTCTTCCCTCTGATCAAATCTAGGTCATTTCTGGGGAACTGACAAAACACACTTACCAAGTTTTGGCTGGGCAACTTGAGTTTACTATCTTCTTCTCAAATATCACTGATACCGACAGTTTAATGGTCTGCAAGCATCGGCAGTGCTTAAGGCAAAATGAAGTCACAAGCAAATGGTTTTTTTCACACATTTTAATGTCAATCTTTGGGAAGTAGCTCATTGCCTGACTTATAAATGCTTCATCTTGAGTCTCATACAGGTGGTGAAACAATTCCAGAAATCCCAGCTCGGATGGAGAGTAGTCACTGTTTCCTAATTCTTCCATCCACTGAAGCGACTCTTGTTTTATGTCCAATGATGTTTTACAATTTAAAGCTTCCTCCAGTTGTTTTATTTTCTTTTCATTCAATAGTCCAAACAAAAAGCATCTCATCTGCATCAAATTAGAGTCTTTATCATTTTTGCTTTCAAGTAACAACTTCAAATCTTCAAAAGACTCAACAGGATAATCCCTAGCTTCCCAGTTGTCCTTCAACATATAAAACATAGCTGCAAAAAATTCCTGAACATGTAGATGGGTGAACACATAGCAATTTTCATACTCTCTGTCCCTTTGAAGAATATTCATGTCCAGAAAAATTGCAACATCATCTTTGGTCAACCCATGCTTTCTGAGATTGTCCCTGTAAAACACATGTGTCATAGTCCATATTCCTTTTGCAGCCAAGTGGCACAGCCTCCCCAGTTGGTCCTGGTTGGGCAGACTAAGACAGCATTCATCTACTGATGTGAACAAGCTGGAAATGTAGCTGGTAAAAAGAGCTGTGGTTGTCTGGCAGGTGACTGTGACATCACCACCCTTCTCCATTTCCCGCTTCAGACAAGTACAAGCAATCCAGCACACCTGGGGGACCCGGCACATGCTAAAAAGCATCTCATTGCTTCTTAGCAAACTGAATGCTTTCTTGCCCCACTCCTCATCTTCAAAAAACTGGTAAATATACTCCTTTCTTATCTGCTCAGGCATTCCGGGTATTTCTACATAACGTTGACTCTTCAATACATTCTTCAGTCTCTTGGAAGATGTGAGTCTCATTGTCAACAATAAAGATGACTCAGGAAGCATCACTTTCCTCAGCAAACTACTCAGGAGGAAGGACACTGGGTGCACCTGGGTCCAGTCTTCACACAGTGCAAACTCAGGCTCCTCAAAGGCAAAGTTCAGTTCATCAAAACTATCAATAATAAAAAGGAGACCACTTGGCTGTGACAGAATCTTTTCAATGGGACTTTCTGCGCTGGGCCAGTCCTTCGATATCAGTTGAGCAAAGCTTGTCTCCTTCAACTGGTTCATCTCTCTCCCATTGAGGTAAAACACATAGGAAAACTTCTGATAGAAATTGCCCTTTGCCCAATCTAACATTGCCTTCCTTGCCAACTTTGTTTTCCCAACCCCAGCGGCTCCCTGAAGCACCACTATCTGTGGCTGCTCACCAGTTTTGACATCCATATCAAACAAATGCTCCACCAAATCTTCATCTTCCTGAGAAATTGCACGATGGAAAGTTTCAAGTTCTCCAAGCCAAGAGCTCTCATCCCAAATGATGCAAAATTTTTCCTTAATTTGAATTCTGTATTCTGTTCCACTATCTAGATTAGAATAGTACAGGGGGAAAAAAAAGCAATAAACACACAATCAAAACAAATTCTGAGTTGTAATGTTAAGAATATTGGACTTGGGGTTAGAACCAAATAATAATACAGGCCAAATTCAAAGCTGGTATAAATAAAAAAAAGTAACTCACATACAAATATTCTTACGGATTTAAAATTTGCATTAGCAAATTTGCATTTACCTTCTGGTAAATGTTTTCCCAAGTTATTATCTAATGATTGAAACTGCTTTCTAAGTTTTCATTTGATATTGCTATTGTAGGTAAGTGATCTGGGACTGGCACCCCCATTTCTCTATTGGTAAGTCCAACTTGTTCTTATTTCTCTATTCTTTGAGGTAGGAAAGTAATTCTATTCTGAAGGACTCTCCAAGATGTAAAATTTGATCTTGATATCTTATAAAAGGAATGGTTAACATTTTCTGTAACAGCATAGCCAAAATGAGCTACAGTGATCTGCCCTCAAGGAGGCCCAACAGGCCAGTCCACTGCAGTGGCCTGCAATGTGGTAAGCCTGGGCTTCAGCAGAAATCAGCTTGTGAAGAGCCCTGGCAGCTCTGCCAGCCAAGAGTTGGATCACTGGAAATGGAACTGCCCTGGAGTTGAAGGACTTCAGGTCAGAGCCACGGATCTTATTGGTTCTAAGCTGAAAAGCCCTTCACTCAGCCCAGCTTCCAAAGTGACCACCACAGCTGAGGGGATGGCCAAGTAGGGTCAGCAGCATTACAGGCAGAACTGTAAATTTCCTGTTACAGTTGTCACCTGCCTTTACCTGGCCAGCTCTCCTCCCAGGCCAGATAGGTAATGGACGTCAACAGGGTGCCTTCCCCAAGGAGGTTCACACCTCCCTTAGGATGTACCCTATGAAGAGATAGACAGGTCTGGGCCTCTTAACTTACAAGGCCTAAAGCCCACCAGATTATTTTCAAGCCCCTTCTGTCAGTTTCTATTTATCTCAATCGGAGAACTTATTAGTGGCTTAGACAGCACGTTTCTTGAGTCCTCTAATAATGACTCTGTCCTTTGTTCTATACCCTGTCTAGCCTACGTGGGCCTCATTCCTTTGTAATCATAGCCTCTAACATTAATGGCTCTACTCCCAACCTGTGTACTGATGGTCCTCTCCCCTACTTAATCTTGTATGATTATTCAGAATTTCTCTACAGACAAACCCCTCTACCTGCAAAAGTTGAGTGGCTGTTCTCCCGGTCTTGGCTGGGATCAGATTTAAGCCACATCCAAACTGTCCCCACAAGGGTCCAGAGACCCCCCATTTCCTCTCCTCTATGAAATCCTTTCATTACCTGGTTAATGCCACTCTTAGGATCATTGGTTGCTATTCTCACCCTGACTTGTATACTACCGTGTCTGTTTAAGTGTTTACAGCAGGTGATAATGGAATGAACTGAGGCCTTCGGCAACCAAGCGGTCAAACAGATGCTTCTCCATCTATACATGCCTGTCCCTGCGGAGCCCCAAGATACCCCAGCGGGCCCCTGTAGACGACGTCCCCAGTCAGCAGGAAGTAGCCAGAGAGACTCATCGCCACCCCCTTTCCTATCATCAAAAGTTTGGGATGGTAGCTTTGGGATCCGCAAGGAGGGAAGGCCTGTACTTCCGGGAATGGAGAGTCCCTACCCGCACTTCCGGAGAAAAGTCCTTGTCAAGGTCTCCACGGGTGCCTAAAGGTCAACCAATGAGGATCAGACCTGCCTCAACCTTTAACCCCCACACCCTGTATCTATAAAAGGAGCCCTCCCAATCTCTGATGCTTGACTTCCCTGGCCCCCGCTCTGTTGGGACCAGGGAACCTCGCCCAGGAGTGGGATCTCAATAAAAGCTTGTGAATTAAAAAAATTAAAAAAATAAAATTTGCATTAGAAGGTGGCAAAAACCCCAGAATTGACAATGCATAAAAATGAATCTTTGATGGAAAATATGTTTTATTGTCTAGAAATATTCTTTCCTTGTACTTTTCCTCTAAAACAAAATAAAATGACATATATGGAGAACAGTCATCACTCAAATAAAAAAGAGGCAAGAATTAATGATAGTAGCCAGGGAGGACCCTAAGACAGACCTGAACCTACAGATCAAAAGTATCTTTATTTCTTAAAAAACAGGGGCCGGCACTGTGGTGCACTAGGTTAATCCTCCACCTGCAGCTCGCCATTCCATATGGGTGCCGGTTTCTAGTCCCTGTTGCTCCTCTTCCAGTGCAGCTCTCTGCTGTGGCCTGGGAAGGCAGTGGAGGATGGCCCAAGTGCTTGGGCCCCTGCACCCGCATGGGAGACCAGGAGGAGGCACCTGGCTCCTGGCTTCGGATCGGCATAGCTCCAGCCATTCGGCCATTTGGGGAGTGAACCAATGGAAGGAAGACCTTTCTCTCTGTAACTCCACATCTCAAATAGCTTGAAGAATATACTGAAGGAACAAGATTCCCAATTGCCCAAGTAAAATGAAAATGTAGTTTCATCTCTAGCTCCTCAGTCCGATTCCTCCTTTAGATCCCCATTTAAATGACACTATGGGACTGGCCTTTCACGTAGCTGTTAATCCCATTCCATATCAGAGTCCTGCTGCTCATGTGCAAGAACTGAATACCCAGCTGCTGCCTTTGTCTTGGCTCAGCCCAGGATGTGGTGGACATTTGAGGAGTGAACCAGAAATCTTCCATCTACTCAGTTTCTCTCCCTCTTTGCTTTTCAAATAAATATCTTTTAAAACATTCAAATATGCTAATGACACTATCTAAGGGAAACCTGCTGAACCCCAATGTTAGTTCTCAAATATTCTCAAAACTCAGTATATTTTTCATTTTACAGGATATATCACAACCTATAATTATCTTACATATTTACTTTTGAAAGAAATGTACTTGAGTGGAATACATCAGTAGTTTCTCATTGCTTAGTGTCTAACATTCCTTGCACACAATTGTCAAATATACTTGCTGAATAAAAAACAATTATATAATTCAATACTATGCAACCTTTGAATTAAAATAACATACAACTACATGCAAAACTAAGAACATAAGTCTACAATATAGTTAGAAAAGAAATCCAGCTTCAGGGAAATACGTACACATAATCCTATCTCAGAGAACATGAACTTTATGCATCTGAAAACCTACAGGCTGTGCACTAAAACTTTAATACTGGCTATTTCTAAATACCAAGATAAGGATGTGGAGCGGGAGAATGAGCAAGTCACTTTATGTACTTTTATAATATTTGAAACCTTTAGAAGAACTTGTTTCAGTTATGTGTTGAAAAACAAAAGGTAAACACATGATAGCTGAAAGTTTTAGAAAAACAAAAACAACGATTCGTCAGCAGGGAGGAAGGGAATACTATTTCCTGAAACTAAAGCCTATCTTGAAACAGGATACGAAGATCAAAACACTGTGGTGCTGGTTCACACAGAGAGAGGACAATCAGAAAATAAGTACAGAAGTTATTTCATACTTACAGTATTTTACAAACTTCCTATGATAAGTTACTTTTGTCACAGACTACCAGAGAATGGAGAGTTAATTAGCTATCTGAGTATACATATCTACAAATATGAGGGAAAGAGCTGTCAGATTTGAAAAAAATAAATTGAAAGCCATTAGTTTTTGCTCATCCCAAAGGAATAAACTTCCTTATATTCAATCATAAGGTCATTCAATAAAGTAACTTTTATTAGTTTGTGCTTGGAATGAAGTAGAGTCTTGGTTATTATTTGAATGAGATCTTGTGAATCATTAGAAAGCAATATAGCTGGGTTAAAAGCAAAGGTTTCTCACCAAGACCAATTTTTTTTTCTACTACACTCGCACATAAACTGGAATTCAACTATGTAGCATTCAAAACAAAGTAGAGAAACTGGGACTGTGTTAAACTAAGATTGAAAAGGCTTGGTTCTAGAAATTGGATTTTGTACAGACTGGCTTGTCCATCTGCTGGAATACGATTATAGGACCATCTCTAAAGGAAGAGAATTGATGAAATAAATCAAATGATCCCTGCCAATGTAGAGTCTTTAGTCCACAAAACACAAATGTAAACTTTTTGTTCATCAGAGGATCAGCTTTTGACTAGGCATTTCCACATACTTCTCTCTTGAGGCCCTGGGTTAACAGAGAGGTCCCCAATTTGGACTTTGGCCACAGTCAGTTTTGTTGATTCTTTATTAATGATACTGAAAGAAAAGATGGAATAGTAGAAAAAATGCTTCAAAAGTTCAAACATCTCTCAAATCTGAAAAAAAGCCTATGCACTCACCCAGCATGGCTTCCTGGTCACCTTGCATCTCTCTGGGCTCAACATCCTCTTGTTCCATAGCCGTGGCTGTCCCTGCAACAGGAACATGAGATTGACCAAAAACAAAAGAGCCTTGGTGATGGTCCTGACAGGGGCCAGCATTCTCAGGGCTCCAATTCTATAACCACCTGGATTTCAGAAAACTAGAGCAAAAAGAACCTCAGACTCCATCAACTTAGCTTAAGGAGGAAGTGATATGGTACTAGTAATATTTAAATGGGGGATTGCTTATTATGCTCCCTATCCTCTAGGGCAGAGGGTTCAGCACAAGCTGAGGTTCCCTGGTCTACACTGACTTCTCAGTAATATGGTGAGGCTCAAAGGAATCCATAGCTATAGGGCCTTAGATAGGCATGAGGAATTTTAAATATCTAATATTTCATACCTCAAAATTAAAATATTGGATTGGCCTATGTCCTTTAATAAGTTTTAGCCATTAATATAAAGTAGCCATATACAGAAATGTTTAATATATTAAGATATGTTAAGTCATATTTGTGATTTCAAAATTTAGCCTAAGCTTTTTTTAATAGTTTAGGCAATGGTATGCTAGAAGAGAAGTTTTCTATTGCTCAATCTCTTTCATCATTTTGATTAGCACATGATGGATAAATTACCCCCAGTTAACGAACCAGGCTAGGTTATAGTACTCAAAACCCCCATCCCTTCAGTGTTCCACAAATGATCCAACAAGCTCTCCACATACAAGATCATGGAGAGTGTGTCCCTCAGAACAGTTTAATCCCTAACTCCATTTTACAGCTTCCTTCCTATAGGCTCCAGGATACACTTCCTTCTCACTATCCCCAGATATGTCCCTGGAATCACTCACGGTTGATCTCTGCTTTTGCTCTCTCACACAAACCCCTCAGGTTCATCTTGCCAAAGATTTTCAGCGTCACACTCCAGGCCTGCTCTCCTGGATAATATCTGTTCATCAGGTTAGCCAGATCCTCACGCTTGGCCTTCTTCACTGCCGTCCAGGGTATCAGGCAAGGCCCCGGTTCCATGGTCTCCCTTAGAAGTAACTTGAATTTATTGAATTCCTCTTTGTTTAGCTCCTCCAAATACAGCAGCAGCCCAAAATCAGAAAAGTAGGAAGATGAAGAAGCTGCCATCTTGTCTATGGATTAATATTCAGGCTCCAGTGGGGAAAAGTAATCAAAATAAGGTGGAATGAATAGGACCTATGGAAAACTAGGAGTAGAAAGTAAAATACCTTTAAAATACAGGTTTATTCAATAAACATTTGTCAAAACCCACTACTTTAGGCTTAGTATTGACCAAGGGTCCTCTATAATACATTTTCTTTTTTATTTTTTAAAGATTTGAAAGAGTTACACAGAGAGAAGAGGTACAAAGAGAGAGAGAGAGGTCTTCCACCCGGCGGTTCACTCTCCAATTGGCCACAACAGCCTGAGCTGTGCCAATCCAAAGCTAGGAGCCAGGAGCTTCTTCTGGGTCTCCCACGCAGGTGCAGGGGGCCCAAGGACTTAAGCCATCTTCTACTGCTTTCCCAGCCATAGCAGAGAGCTGGGTCAGAAGTGGAGCGGCCAGGATTTGAACCAGTGCCCATATGGGATGCTAGCACTGCAGGCGGTGGCCTTACCCACTATGCCACAGTGCCAGCCCCAATACATTTTCTATGATAAAACATTATTTAACATAGATACTGCACTATTTCTTCCACCTGCTCACGAGGCAGAAGAAATTACCAGCCCCACCACTTGTGAACTTAAAAAAAAATTGATCTCTCCAACCTCAGTTTAGTTTTCTTCTGCAAAGAGGGGATATCATAATCAACCTCAAAAGATCATGTCTCATTTGCTCCATACTACTATCTATGTATAACCTGACACAGTATACACTCTTACTGAGTGGTGGCAATTTTCCTCATCCCTATACTTTCCCTTACCAACATCCAACACCTGTCTAAGCCTATAAACACTATTAGTACATTCCTGCGAACATTATTTTTCATGAAGTACATGCAATTGGAATAAGCTGCCATCTATCTCTTCTTGTCATGTTGTCTCTTGTTATCAATCCATACACAACCACTGAGTCTGTTCCTAGATCACAAAATTCATTTCAGGTCTACCCCTCAATGGATGAATTCAGTGTTAAAGTTCATCCAAAACAGTATTCTCTCAGATCCTTGATATCAACTCCCATGACCTCACTGCACTTCGGCATTTCACTCTGATGCACTCACCCAGGCTTTATCAAAAACTACTCACACTCAGATTTTAAACTCTCACAATCTATTTTCTACTAATATCTCCCAGTTAATTGGGCAATTTCATTCCTCATTTCCACTTTGACACTTCAAACATTAAATCATGATCTTCTGAGACCTATGTTTTTCTCTTAGTCAACCATCTTAAGAACCTTATTCCATTTCTTAATAACAGAAGCACACTTTCCCCGCCACCTTCAAGTTTCTCACTCCTCTGCAGTTATTTGCCTAAAAACAAAGTAAGTGGTACAGTTAGAACCTTAGATCTTTCTCTAACATCCTACCCTTTCCATTCTTTCATAATTCTGCCACCTAATCTTGCTAATGGGATTGGAAAAGACAGATATGTAGGGAAAACTTACATAAGGGAGAGAGTTTATCTATTAAACAGAAGGTGAATTATCTTAAGAATTACATAGTAAATCTGGAATGTCAGGCAATTGGTGAGATACCAGTCATTTTAGAATTGTTTTTAAACTATACTCCAAGAATATTCTAGATTATAGATAAACCTTACAAAAACATGTTCCATGTTTTTCCCCCAAAGGAACCAAAATGGAAACAATTTGAGGAAACTTAAAAGGAACACACTGACATTTTCTCCAGGACATACATGAGAGTAAGAGAAAATGAAGCATGGAACACATTACATTCAACCATCCAGCCTAGAAATGTACAGATATCCCTGCACATGAGCCTTTGTTTTCCTTCTTTTGCTTTCCCCTTTATTATAACAAAGGAAGGGATTCACTTCTTTTTCTACAGCTTGTCCCTTCACCCAAGATCGCAATCTCAGATGTTCCAAAAGTGTGTAATCTATTATTGATCTCTTTTCTGTATTCAACTTTTTCCCTGTCCTCTTAAGTTCTCCCCAGTAGTATTTAAACATGCCCAAATCAAATTTAGTCTTTCTCAAATGTTCTCTTCATATCCCTTTCATCCTCATGGTCAAAATTCTAAATCTTCTGTACTTCATATGTCACCTTTTCAACTCACTGCAGTCTATCTTTTGCTACCCCAATTTCACTGGGGTAACACATATCAATTACCACTCTGCTTCAAAACTCAACACACATTTTAGGATCAATTTCCTACCTGTAGGCAGGAATATGTCTAAGTATTAATAAAGCTAATGCATCACCCAATTTAGTTTCATTTCAACAATGGCTTCCATCTTTATATTATTTCTCCCCTTGGCTCTCATAATTCCACACTTGCTTCATTTTCTTTCTACCTTGCTAGGTGTCCCTTAGAACCAAGACCTATTTGGGTCTGAATTCTATTTGGTTTCTACAACTCTAATAAAGTAAAATGTCCTTTGGCCCCCTTCCTAAAGGTTTTATGCTGTTCTTAAAAGTTTTTTTGGTTTTGTGCTCTTATATTTTTAGAATATAAAGGAATATATACAGGAAAACAAATGTTTGGTGCTGTTTCTGTTACATAAATGCATCAATTCATTCTAAAATTTTCTGATCTAAAATGAGAACCCATAATCTAAGAGGATTTCAATTTACAAATTTCTTTTTATGACTTTATTACCAAAAGGCTATTTGTTCTAAATAATCAGGTAATAACTACATTTGCTGAGGACCAACCATGTATAAGTTCTCTGAAAAACTTCTCCAGTCTTCAAAGCAGTCCTCCAAATTTGGTTTTCTCCACTTTGTAGAGATACAGAAACTTGAAAATTAAGAAACAAGGGGTTGATGCTGTGGTGGAGTGGGTTAAGCTGCAGTCTGCAGCAGTGGTACCCTATATGGGCACCATTTCGAGTCCTGGTTGCTTCCTGCTAATGTGTCTGGGAAAGCAGCAGAAGGCCCCAGTCCTTGAGCCCCTGCACCCACACAAGAGACCCAGATGAAGCTACTGGATTCGGCCTGGTCCAGCCCCGCCATAGCAGCCATTTAGGGAGTGAACCAATGGATGGAAGATCTCCCTCTGCTTCCCCCTCCCTCTCCCTCTCCCCCTCCTCCTTCCCCCCTCTCCCTCTCCCCCTCCTCCTTCCCCCTCCCTCTCCCCCTCCCCCTCCTCCTTCCCCCCTCTCCCTCTCCTCCTTCCCCCTCCCTCTTCCTCTCTCCCTCATCCCCTCTCTCCTAGCCTTAGCAAAAAGAAAACGCCACACAAACCCAAACTGAAGGATAAGCTACCAAATACCCGACTAGTATTTCTTAAAACCATCTAGGTCATCAAAAACAAAACTGTCACAGACCTGAGCAGACTAAGGAGACAAAATGACTAGATGTAACATGGCATCTTTGAAAGGGTCGAGGAATAAGAAAAAGAACACTTGGAAAAAATGGGTGAAATCCAAATTAAATGAAACTGAATTATCTTAATCAATTGTCTTAATTGTTAAAAATGCCACAGTAACATGTTAAAAAATAGGGGAAATTACCACATAGCTCTCTGCTAATGGCCTGGGGAAAGCAGCAAAGGATGGCCCAAGTGTTTGTGCCCCTGCCACCCACATGCAAGGCCTGTAAGAAGCTCATGGCTTCCGGCTGGCCCAGCCTTGGCTGTTTCAGCCATCTGGGAAGTTAACCAGCAGACAGAAGATCTGTCTCTCCTTATCTCTAACTCTTTCAATTAAAAAAAAAACAAAAACAAAAACAAAAAAAAAAAAACACAGAAATAAGGGAGTCCAACGAAAAACAGACAAATGGAACAAGCATGGAAGATAGATTCCCAGTCTTAAATTATTTAAAAAATTGAAAAAATGGGAAAAATCTTTGAGAGGAATTCAAGAACCCTTTCTGTAATTCTAAGAAAGGGAACTATTCAGAAATAAAATATTTTTAAAAACTAGCAATTACAACCCAAACACCAGCAGAAATGTGTAATGCAGCTGCACCAGGAGACATGCAAGCAAAATTAGAACAGCCACTTTTTGTAATTCCTAAGCACCAGACAACATACAAGAGTTCATCAATATATAACGTGGTGGGGTTGGGGGGCTGGTATTGCAGCACAGCAGGTTAACCCGCTTACAATGCCAGCATCCAGTATGAGCACCCATTCAGGTCTCAGCAGCCCCACTTCCCATCCAGCTCCCTGCTGATGTTCCTGTGAAAGCAGTTGAGGATGACCAAAATTCGTGGGCCCCTGCCACCCATGTGGGAGACCTGAATGGAGTTCCAGGCTCCTGGCTTCAGCCTCACCCAGCCCTAGCTATTGTGGCCATTTGGGAGATGAACCAGCAGATGAAAGATCACACTCTGTCTCTCCCTCTAACTCTGCCTTCTAAATAAATATCTTTATATAAATATAGAATCGATAAACAAGGTATGATCATTACATGCAATGAAGTCCTATATGTAATGAAAACGTATCTGCAGGTACATACCACTAGGATGAATCCTACAAATAATCAGTGTCGCTCCCCGTCTTCGTGGAGGAACGACACAGGACCCTGCGCTGTTCTTTCGTCTGCTCGGCTCTCCCCGGGTTTGCTGCTGGTTCTTCCCGGGTTGGCTACCGTCCCTTCCACCTCCGTGGAAGGGCAGTTCCCCCTGGCCACATTCCCCACTTCCGCAGGGGAGCGGCACACCGCCGGCCGGCTCTCTCGGGGGCTGCACAGGTGTTCCCCTTAGATGTTCCCCTTAGATGTTCCTGGTGCATGCCGTCTCTCTCCTCCTTTATAGTCCTCCTCCGCCAATCCCAACTCGGCTGCCCACACGCCGAGTATGCTGCTCTCCTCCAATCAGGAGCAAGTCCTACAGTGTATTGGCTGAACTGGAGGCAGCTGTGTAGAAGTTGTTTTCTTCTCTCCCAGCGCCATATTGTGGGAGAGCAGATGCATAGAATAAGTCTTAATTCCAGTAACTTAGTCTAGTCCGAGTTGCTCCCCACAGATCCCCCTTTCTTTTTATTTTTTGGCGTTGATACACGCCTGTCTTCGGTGTCCCGCAGCACACACTCTGCTCTACTTGCTAGAGTTGCCACAGGTTCTTACAAGTCCTATCAATCAGGCAAACCGAATTCGGGTCCTCTCTTCGCCATGTTGTGAGGAGGTTTTTAGGCGCTGATGTGTGCCTGTGTTCGGTGCCCTGCAGCGCATGCTCTGCTCTGCCTGCAGGTGCTTACAAAACCTAGCAATCAGGCAAACCGAATCCAAGCCTTCTCAGCGCCATATTGTGGGGAGGCTTATTGGTGTTGATTCATGCCTATCTTCGGTGACCTGCAGCTCATACTCTGGTCGAGCCGCCTGTTGGTGCTTACCGCCCTAATCAGGCAGACCGAATCCAAGCTCTCTCATTGCCATGTTGTGGGGTGACTTATTGGTGTTGATAACGTGCCTGTCTTCGGTGACCTGCGGTGCATAAGCTGCTAGCCGCCCGCAGGTGCTCATCGCCTCACTAATCAGGCAGACCGAATCCAAGCCTTCTCATTGCAGTATTGTGGGGAGGCCTTTCTATTTCTCTATTTCTCTATCTCCGGGCATTCCTATTTCTCCCATTTTACTTCTATCTTCCAGCATTCCTATTTCTCTCATTTTACTTCTAAACTTCTGTTTCTCTTATCCCTGCGGCTTCCCGGCGCCTGCCCCGAGGCTGCTTCTCGGCACCTCGCCCCGCGGCAGCTTCACGGCTCTGCGCGGCTTCCCAGCGCCTCGCCCCGCCGGCAGGTTCCCGGCTCTGCGCGCACGCTCCGTGGTCTCCACGCACTTCGCGCCCGCACCACGGCCTCACGCCAGCCCCGCATTCCTTATCTATTCACGCCCCGTGCTCTCTCTGCACGCGGCGGCTTCCGCGAGTCACACAGCGTAGCTTACGTCTCCGCCACTAGTATTCAATCCAAGTTCCCCGGACTAACCTGGCGAATTCCAACCTGGCGGCCCACGTCTCTGGTTCCAGATCTTCGCCTCTTGCTCCCGGGGGTGACTTGAATTCCAAGCTGGCTTCCGTTTCCGCCTCGGCCTGCACTCGCGGCTTCATCCTCCCTAACATTTTTCTCTACCCGGTATGTTTCCCTAAGTTTTCTTCCAACAATATTCCTCCCTCATTTCTCCTGGCCTCTCCCCACAGTCCGTATCCAAGTCTAAGTTTCTTATAGGTTTCACTTTCACTTTCAACCTGCAGTCCGTATCTGAGTCTAAGTTTCTTCTTACTTTCACTTTAAATCCTAACTTCTTTCCCACAGTCCGTATCCAAGTCTATGCCTAGGCTTTCAATAGCTTCTTCCAGCACCTTTCTCGTCCGGCTTTCCCCTAGGCTCTTCGCTAGTCTCTCTCTCCGGTATTTTCCACTTCTTCCCGTTTCTTCCCTCCTAGGTTTCCTATCCGAGTCACGGCACCATTATGTCGCTCCCCCTCTTCATGGAGGAACGACACTAAGTCCTGCCTAGGCTTCACATCCGAGTCACGGCACCATTATGTTGCTCCCCGTCTTCGTGGAGGAACGACACAGGACCCTGCGCTGTTCTTTCGTCTGCTCGGCTCTCCCCGGGTTTGCTGCTGGTTCTTCCCGGGTTGGCTACCGTCCCTTCCACCTCCGTGGAAGGGCAGTTCCCCCTGGCCACATTCCCCACTTCCGCAGGGGAGCGGCACACCGCCGGCCGGCTCTCTCGGGGGCTGCACAGGTGTTCCCCTTAGATGTTCCCCTTAGATGTTCCTGGTGCATGCCGTCTCTCTCCTCCTTTATAGTCCTCCTCCGCCAATCCCAACTCGGCTGCCCACACGCCGAGTACGCTGCTCTCCTCCAATCAGGAGCAAGTCCTACAGTGTATTGGCTGAACTGGAGGCAGCTGTGTAGAAGCTGTTTTCTTCTCTCCCAGCGCCATATTGTGGGAGAGCAGATGCATAGAATAAGTCTTAATTCCAGTAACTTAGTCTAGTCCGAGTTGCTCCCCATAATCAGGAAGTCAAAACCAATATAATGCATCGTATAAGTTCATTTTAGAAAGATCAAAACAGAGTAGGCATTTGGCAAAGTGGTTAAGACCCCACGTGGGATGTCTGCATCCTCAATCAGGGGAGTGCCTGGGTTCAAGTCCTGGCTCAGCTCCCAAGTCTAATGTGTACCCTGGGAGGCAGCAGGTGATGGCTCAAGTCGTTAGGTTCCTGCCATGCACGTACGAGACCTGGATTGAATTCCTGGATCAGCTCAGATATGGATGTTGTGGACATTCAGGGAGGAAACCAGTGGAGATTTCTGTCAGTTTCCCCACCCCACCCCCCCTTTTTTTTTGATAGGCAGAGTTAGACAGTGAGAGAGAGAGAGAGAGAGAAAGGTCTTTCTTTGCCGTTGGTTCACTCTCCAATGGCCACTGCGGCTGGCGCGCTGCGCTGATCCGAAGGCAGGAGCCAGGTTATTTCTCCTGGTCTCCCATGCGGGTGCAGGGCCCAAGTACTTGGGCCATCCTCCACTGCACTCCCTGGCCACAGCAGAGAGCTGGCCTGGAAGAGGGGCAACCGGAACAGAATCCGGCACCCCGACCGGGACTAGAACCCGGTGTGCAGGCGGCGCTAGGCGGAGGATTAGCCTGTTGAACCGCGGCGCCGGCCAGTTCCCCGCCTTTCAAGAAGGTCGAAACAGAAAAAATGAAATTATTTGGTACTTTTATGGATGCATGCATTTTAAAAATGGGCTTCAGGTAAGGAAGTTAATGTACAGGCCAGTTTAGTGTTAACTTGATGGGAAGTGGGGTTAGGTGAGCAGTTGTCAGAGCAAGTGTTTTCCCCTGCAGTTCTTAGGTGCTGTTAATGTTCTATTCTTCAATCCAGTGATGGTTTACACGAGTGATCTATCCAATAATCATTCACTAAGCTGCACACTTACGATTAAAGCACTCTTCTATAGGAGTTATATTTCACACTCTAATATGGTTTTAAAAAGGTTCATTCACTAGAAAGGCAGGAAATAGAATACTACTAAAGCAAATTTACTTTAAATGTCTTTCAATAGAGAAAAAAAGAAAAAGGCTAACAAGTATCTCAGAAAAGTTTCAAACTTAAGGCCATACCAAACCAGGAAGTATCACTGATCAATGACCGAAATAGCAAAAGTAAGCTTTTAAAAATCAATACCATTTGATAAAAAGAGTGAAGTCTTATTAGTATACAGTTGCTACACATTTTGCAAAGCTGCATGTCCACAAATATCAAGAACTTTAAAACCACACATGACTTTTCAGTCAGTACCTTCATCTTTCAGAAATTATCCAAAGGAGAGAATCCCAAATACATAAAGTTGTGTGCATAAAGGTGTTTACTTCAGATAACAAATTGCCAAATATAATTATGTTTAATGAAGTAAATGCATAAAAAATGGCATATACTTGATTTCTCAATCATTAAAATGGCCTAGTCATGCAGCCGACTCCACTTTGTGGAGAACTAAAGGCATGTGACAGAACAGGAGGATTACAACTAAGGAATTAAAATCTCTGCAGAGGAAACAAGAAAATAAAACAATCAGGACAGGTGATTTTTGAGTTTAGGACAATTTGTGACAACTTTCTTTAATGAGAATGTTTTTTTTTTCCCGTTTAAGGAACAAGATGTAAAAAGTAAAAAGGCAATATCCATCTTCAAGCCCAAGAGATAAATTAACACCTGCCAACTGCTCTTAAATTGGCAGATGGGCCCCCATTAGTAGCGCCATATATATATATATATATATATTTTTTTTTGACAGGCAGAGTGGACAGTGAGAGAGAGAGACAGAGAGAAAGGTCTTCCTTTGCCGATGGTTCACCCTCCAATGGCCGCCGCGGCCCGCGCGCTGCGGCCTGCGCACCGCGCTGATCCGATGGCAGGAGCCAGGAGCCAGGTGCTTTGCCTGGTCTCCCATGGGGTGCAGGACCCAAGCACCTGGGCCATCCTCCACTGCACTCCCTGGCCACAGCAGAGGGCTGGCCTGGAAGAGGGGCAACCGGGACTAGAACCCGGTGTGCCAGCGCCGCTAGGCGGAGGATTAGCCTAGTGAGCCGAGGCGCCAGCCAGTAGCGCCTTATAGACAGAGCAGTTTTAGGTCACTGCTGGGGGTGGCAATGATAAAGCATTGCTGTTGCCACTATGGGGTTAAAGGGTGACCGACAAAGGGAACAGCATGACCTGTTATTTCTGTAAGTTTGCTAGGAAAAGGAGAACAGCACCTGGGAGCGTGGAGCACAGGGACTGCAACGTTTTAGGCAGCTTCCTTCGTTTTCAGCAGGGAAAGCGGCTCCGCCCAGAGGGAGGAAAACCCGCGGAGTACAGGTGTGGGATTAAAAGAGGAACACCTGCTCCAGAATGGAAGGCGTGGGCCTGAATTCATCAGGGATGATAAAGGTGGGGCGTTTCATACCACTTTAAGATTTATTATTTATTTATTTACTTCAAAGAGTTACACTGAGAGGGAGAGAGAGAGGGATCTTCCACCAGCTGTTTCACTCTCCAGATGGGCGCAATGGTCAGGGCTGAGTCAGACCGAAGCCAGGAGTCTCGTTTGAGGCTCCCATATGGGCACCAGGGCCCAAGCACTCGGACCATGTCCCGCTGCTTTTCCCAGGTCATTAGCAGGGAGCTGGATCGATAGCGGATCAGCTAGGACAGGAGCTGGTGCACATTTGGGTTGGGTCATCTCAGGCTGCCGGCTTTACCCGCTGCTCCACAACACCGGCCCCTCTCACACCACTTTACCTCAGCAAAGTTCAGAAGCAAGCTTTGTACCCCAGCGCTAGGCCATTGAGTTTTTAATGGAAAGTTACTGGCTATCCACGTGTGCACGTGTAGACTACTGTCCACCTCCCCCCCACACACACCGTGACCATGGAAAGTCACTCCCCACACACACCCTGTCACTGCCCGCGCCCACACCCCAAACCCGAAAACCGCCGACATTCTAGACCCCCGGGGTCCGCATCCCCTTCCTGTCCTTCCGCACAGTATGGACTCAACACGGAGCCTTTCTTTTAGAGCAGGCAAAACACACACGCAGAGTAGGGTGACCCCATACCTTGGGTTTCGGTGGGCGTCGGTGACGAAGGTGAAATCCCAGCGCTCAAAATCGGGAAGGGAAGCTTCAACGGGCACTTGCTGCTTGATGAGAGAAGCGCACCTTTGGGCTTATAACCCCTCCCCTCCCTGCAAACCAGAGCCTACAGCTGTGAGGGCCTCCCGGGTGGTTGGCCCCACAGCCCCACTGCGAGTCTCCTTCCCATTGGCTGGCCGGCGCAGGGCGCTGCTCCCACGCCTTTCCCGAGAAGATACATTGTTCAACATGGGATCCTCTGCACTCAGCACACCTGCCAGGCACACAGGCCCCTTCGTTCCTGATGAACAAACAGTCACATGTTAAAGTCTTAGAATGAGCTTTTCCCATCCTGGCTGACTCCCAGCAGACAGAATCCCTTTATTCATCCTATCAGTCCAATAATCCATGCCATTATTGTTCACCACCGCCGTGCCTGGCAGGTTTCTGGGCCCCCTCTGGCAGTGAACAAAACATCCAGTCTCCTTCCACTATGCCTCGCTCTTAGGAAGCTTACCTGCTACCTAAGGCGGGCAGATAATCAGCTGTGGAGTATCAGGTGGTAATCGTTGCTATGATGAAAAATAGGGCCTTGGAACTTAGTGCGGGGGCAGAAGGGTGAGCGATGGGTCCTCTTTCTCTGAGTGGAGAGGGAAGGCACTGCTAAGGTGACATGTGCAGGAAGTGAGGGTGTGAGCCATGTGGGTATCTGGGAGAGAGACTTCCTGGAGGAGAAAATAAGGCCTCTAAGTCATTGTTCTAATCTCCATGTTTCTAGGAGCCACTATTCTTCGGTTTTAGGAGAAACCAACAGACAGCTATAGGCAAGGAAGCCAAGAGCTCATTCAGGCGGCCATTTCTTAGACTCATCCCCCCATCCACAATCTTCAACAGAGATTCCTCTTATGACATGAGAAGAGCAGTTCACCTTTTCTTTTAATGTGAAAAAGCCCCGACTATTCCCTGTATTCACCAACCTTGGCACTAAGAAGACATCATCAGTGTGTCTGGGAGCAAAAGGTGGTAAAGATTAGTGTTATTAATTAGCAATCTGTTGTTTGAAACGAAATCCCAGGTTCCATTTCCCTCTCAAAATAAGTTTAAAAATGCACAAAGTGCAGGAGACTGTTACACCTTTCATAACCTCCAATAAAAAATAATTTAGTCTCAATGCCTATTATTTTAAAAATGAGATTATAAATTAAATACCATTATGTGCCAGGAATGCTGAAAGGTAAATTACATGGATTATTCACACCATTCCTTAACAACCATGACTAATATTCATTCTATGGGTTGGAATATTGGGTCACTGTCTGTGTATTTAGGACACTTAACTGCTAGCTACCACTGTTTAATTACACTGAAATTTTCATCTTATGGATGAGAGCACTGAGGTTAAATAGCTTTCCAATGGCAGCTGGTGGATAACAAAACAGCAGGTTTTAAAGACTGCTGTTTGTCAGACAAAAAAGCCCATTGTTTTTTCTTTTACTTTTTATTTAGTCAAAAAACAGATGAGAGAGAGAGAGAAATGAGGATGAGCACTTCCATCCGCTGGTTCACTCCCTAAATGCCCCCAAACTGGGAGCGAGTCAGACCAAAGCCAGAAGCCTGGAACTCAATGCCGGTGTGCACTCAACTATGTAAAGCCACCATCACCTGCTGCTCTCAGGATGTATTAGCAGGAAGCTGGAATCAGGAGTGGAGCCAGGACTGAAACCCAGGCAGGCCAATACGGGATGGAGGCATTCCAAGAAGCATTTTCACCCCTGAGGGAAACGCTGCCCCCGAACTCAAGTCTTTAAAGTCTATGCCACATTGTCATAAAGCCAGGGAGGGGTCTATGGCCGATGATTTTGAAAATGCCTCTGGAATTTTGAGAAATTCAGGTGTTGATAGGGTAGTGGGGTCCAGGCAGATAAGCTTTGGGTCACCCACTTCTTTTAGACTTTTAACTGTAAACATATAGCTAACATAGAGGGTATTTCCTATATGACATGACGGTTTTAAGCATTTTAACTACACTAACTCACTTAGTTCTAATAAGCCAGAGGCATAGTCGTTGTTATTATGCCTATTCATAATATACTCATTAAGCTGACAAAAAAGTTAAGCAATTCAGCCAGGATCACATAGAACCTTTGATGGGGTCGTCATTAAAAAGAGAGGGGCTTCCATGTGCTTAAAACCCACGTTTGAGGAAGGACGGCTTGAAGAGGCGAACACACGTTCCTCACAAAATACACTCCACTAAACACTAGAAGAGCAGGCGCCTGTAAGTCTCCTTGCCGCTCCAGGACACCCAGGGAGGGGGCTGTTGCCCTCGACTTCACCTCAGTTCTATTTCCCGTCTCCCGAGGCCGCTCGGCCTTGGCGGGAAGGCGGGAGGGAGGAGAGTCCAGGAAGGAGGCCAGTCCCAGGCAACAACAAAGGGCAATCTAGAAAGCCCTTCCCGTGGCTGAGCTGGTCCACACCTCATCGTCCCGTGACGGCGCTAGCCAGGGCCAGCGTTATTGGGGGCGCCCATTCCGAGGGCGCGGGACAGCTGGCGCAACCGCCCCTAGCCAAGGAACGGGGTCCTGAGAGCAAGTGTTTCCTCGGTTCCGGTTAGAGAGGTTCGCACTGGCACGCTGGGAGGATGCCAGAATTCTCCACATTTTTCTGAAGCCTCAGTCACGCCCTTTCCCCCGAGTCCTTAAAGCACCTAGGTTATTCCTATTGCGGTAGTGCGCAGCTGCTCCACCTCATCCAGGCTCAGAGCGCCGCTCTCCCGCGCGGGCCGGAGGGCTGCAGCCGGGCGGCGCCTCCACCTTTCTGGCCAATCAGGAGCCACATTCTCCCTGCTCTCCTTTCCCGCCCCGTCCCTCTGGTATCCATGGAAACGCGACGAGTGTCCATTCCCATGCCCGCGACTTCCGTTTCGGTGGAGCCGGGCTGCGGCCATTGTTTGGGAGGACCAAGTGTTCTGGCCGGTGGCGGTTTCCCCCAAGAAAGGTTCCGTAAGTGACGCGGACGCTCCGGAGGACAACGCTTAGAAGCGGACAAGAACGAGGAGAACAGCGGCTGAGGGAAGTAGCAGAGAAGTGGGGACTGGGGACAGCGAAGCGCCCCGGCTGGGAAGTCCCGGAAACACGGTTTGTAGGTGGGTTCTCCGCAGCTGCCTTCCCACGTTAAGAGTGAGTGAGGTGCGGGAGAGAGGAGGCAGAAAGCCGATTGGGCGCCAGCGTCCGAGTGCCCGGTGTGGGGTCGAAGCCGGAGCCAGGGATTTGGATGCGCAACAGAAGCCGCATGGATCTGGGCGATGAGCCACTCCTGGAGGGGCGCCCACCTCTGTCCTGCTCTTGGGGTACGCCTTAAATCCCTTTCTCTCCGGAAAGTGGGCTCTTAACTAAGCGCTTATTTTCCCCAGGGCCCTACCTGGTACCAGCAGGGAAGGACTCATGCCTCCGCTTTCCAGATGAGGAAACCGAGGCCTCCGGAGCTCTCGGAAGTTTGGCTGTTTGCAAAGTTCCACAAGTGGTTGACGGCCGAGTTGAGACTATGACCAGGTCCCTTGAGCCCTAGATCTAAGATCCTCCGAGACGCCAGGTACCTCTCTAAATTTAAGCCCTCTGTGGTAAGACATAAGAGAGAACAGTGAAATTACTTTCTATATAAATTGAACAAAAAAATACTTTTAGAAAGTAACTTTTAAAGTATACTATTGTGGTTTTTATTGTTTAATTATAATAAAATCTAAACAATAATAATTAACAAAAATCTCTAGGCTTAGAGGGGTAGTGTTACATAGAAAGCATCTGCATCCCTGAAGGGACTAAACTGAGCAATCAAATTCTGTCTTTCCATGTCTAAGCCAGAGTTATATCTCTTGAAGTTTCTAGATTATCATAAGTAAGTTCCAGGATGCCAGTGAGTAGATCTCTCCTTTTAGATTACTGAAAGGGAACAGTAGTGCTTTGGGGCTCTTTTTGATCTCTTTCTAGGAAATATGGGTGTTGTATTAGAATGTGGGGATTTTAGTGAGTTTGGGGACTTAATATAATGCCCAGTTTTTCCTTTATCCTTTCCCTCAGTTCAGCCATCTCAACATTCGACCCTCCCCCACAGGAGGAGCACAGGAGAAAGGAATGTATTTTGCTGTACTTGTTATCTGATTCCAGAACAGCGGGTTTGTCTTCTTCTTCTTCTTTTTTTTTTTTTTTTTTTAAGATTTTTCTGTTTACTTGAAAGGCAGAGTTACAGAGAGGTCTTTTATCTGCTGGTTGACTCCTGAAATGGCCACAACCACCGAAGCCTGGCCCATCCAAGGCCAGGAGCCAGGAGCTTCCTCTGGGTCCCCCACTCTGGTGCAGGAGACCAAGCACTTGGGAGCTGGATCAGAAGTGGAGCAGCCAGGACTCAAACCTGCATCCATATGGCATGCTGGCACCACAGGCGAATGCTTAACCTACTACGCCACAGTGCCAGCCCCAGCAGCTTAGCTTTGTCTTTTTTTTTTTTTAATATTTTATTTTATTTGAGAGTTAGAGTTACAGACAGTGAGAGGTAGAGACAGAGAGAAAGGTCTTCCTTCCGTTGGTTCACTCCCCAAATGGCTGCAACGGCCGGAACTGTGCCAATCCAAAGCCAGGAACCAGGAGCTTCTTCCTGGTCTTCCGCATGGGTGCAGGGGCCCAAAGGACTTGGGCCATCTTCTACTGCTTTCCCAGGCCATAGCAGAGAGCTGGACTGGAAGAGGGGCAGCCGGGGCTAGAATCGGCACCAATATGGGATGCAGGCGGAGGATTAACCTACTGTTCCGGGGCACCAGCCCCAGCTTTGTCTCTTATAATTAATGAAGTATTGCTGATTTCTGCAATAGTGGGGTGGGTAGTGGGGGTGGTGGAAATGGCAAGGGTGATGGAAAATGTTTCTTGTTTGCTTGAGAAGCTTCCAAGCCTTCTGTGCAGCATGCCTCTGCCTCCCACCCAGGGTCTTTTCCCAACATTCATTCATTAATTCACTCATGTCTTATATACCCAGTATTGTTCTTAGTACTCTGAATTAAAGCAGTATTAGAATTTCTTCATATTGGGAAGTAAACCATAAAAGTTTAAAATTTCTTAAGTTATCCACATTAAACAGTACAGTCGTGACTGGTCCTTAAAACACAGCAACAGGGACTCAAATTGGAGTAGTCATCAAGAATAGGAAGAGTCCCTTCCAGACAGGAAAACCAGCACTTGGTCTCATAGAATTTGAGAGGACAAATAGGGAAACTGGACTAGTTGCAATTACGGATATATAAAGTGAAGCCACGTTGTGGGGGGCTATTAACATGCCATTTGTTGCTTATACTTAGATCCCTTTTCCCATTAACCAGGAGTAGTCACTATTGACAGTTGAGTTACTTGTAGTCTTTTATCTAATATTTAATATACATAATCACCAACATGTATAAGTACTAATATGTATGCATACATGCATATACGTGCACATATACATGTCAAACACATAAGGGGCATGTATATGGAGTGATTAGTTTATAAAATATGAATCATAACAGGCTAATTGAAAGCAGGGAATTTCCCTATGGAATGTACCTTGCATATAGTAACTGGCACTCAGTAAATATTTGTTGATTGTGTGAATGGTTTTATTTAATATGTAATGAGTACTTTTCCAAGCAGTTTGTGGTCCCATAAGTTTCAATGACTGCTGTTCTGTTTCAGGTATATACCATGCTCTTCTAAAATTTTCTTTTATTGGGAAAAATTTAAGTATTTCCCAGTGTTTTGCTATCATAAGCAACTTTTAATAAGTATTCTCACACATGATTTATTAAGTATATGTCTCTATTTTCTTAAAATACAGTAAAAAAATAGGAAAACATAATCAAATGATATAAACATCGTTTAGGCTTTTGAAAAACCCGAGTTCTTTTTTAGAAGTATTACATGAACTTAAACTCTATCTTGATCCTGTCTTGCTGAACCTTTCCCAGCATTTAGTATTACTTAAAAATTGTTTTCCTTTATTTTCATTCCATTAGTAAAATTGACTTTTTTTTTACATATCCTTATTGACTATTTGTATTCCTTCTTTGATGAATTGCTCTTGACTTTCTTTGCCTTTTATCCTGCAGAATTTTTGTTTCCATTTTATACTAGCTGCTGTTCTGTGTAAAAGACAATTTTTTATATAGCGTAAATATTTCTCCTACTTTATTACTTGCCTTTTACCTTTTAAAGTTTAAATTTGCATGAAGTATAATCTTAATAATTTTATTTATATGGTTTTAATGTGTCAAAACATTAATTTTTTTTTTAGATTTATTTAAAAGAGTTACAGAGAGAGATGGAGAGACAGAGAGATCTTCCATCCATTGGTTCACACCCTATGGCTGCAATGGCTGGGGCTGGGCCAGGCCAAAGCACTAACCAAGAGCTTCTTCCAGCTCTCCTACATGGATAGCAGGGGCTGGCTCCTAGCTTTGGCTTGGCATAGCCTTGGCTGTTGGGGCCATTTGGGGAGTGAACTAGAACTAGCAGATAGAAGATCTCCCTGTTTCTCCCTTTCTGTCCGTGTAACTATGCCTTTCAGATAAATAAATAAATCTAAAAGTTTAAATACAGGTTCTGTACTCCACTACCTGGGTTGTTTCATATTCCAACCACTGCTTAGTTCTATAATTTAGATTGACTTAATTAACTAGTGTCTCATCTTTTTTTTTTTTTTTAAGATTTATTTATTTATTTGAAAGGGAGAGTTAAACAGAGAGAGAAGGAGAGGCAGAGAGAGAGAGAGAGAGAGAGAGAGGTCTTCCATCCAATGGTTCACTCCCCAATTGGCTGCAATGGCCAGAGCTACATTGATCCGAAGCCGGAAACAGGAGCTTCTTTGGGGTGTCCCACGCAGGTGCAGGGGCCCAAACACTTGGGCCATCTGCTGCTTTCCCAGGCTACAGCAGAGAGCTGGATAGGAAATGGAGCAGCCGGGTCTTGAACTGGTGCCCATATGGGATGTCAGTGCTTCAGGCCAGGGCGTTAACCCACTACGTCACAGCGTGGCCCCGTAATATCTCATCTTTAAAGTGGGAAATCTAATCTACGTAAAGCTCTCAGGAAGATTAAATGAGATCATTCATGTAAAAAACAAAGCACGGTGCTTAACATCCATAACTCACTAATAGTTGATTACTATTATGTTAGTATTTAAAATATTATGCACATCTGATACAACTGTAAGACAGAATTGAGGCAGAGAATCTAGCTTAAATTTTCCCCAAATCTCTAGTCATTCATCCCAAATCATTAATCTAAAAAACTCCATCTTTTCCCCACAACTTTTTTTTTAAAGATTTTATTTATTTATTTGAGAAGTAGAGTTACAGTGAGAAGGAGAAACAGAAAGGTCTTATATCTACTTGTTCACTCCCCAAATGGCTGCAATGGCCACAGCTGAGCCAATCTGAAGCCAGGAGCCAGGGGCTTCTTTTGGGTCTCCCACACGGGTGCAGGGGCCCAAGTGCTTGGGCCTTCTTCTACTGCTTGCCCAGGACATAGCAGAAAGCTGGATCGGAAGAGGAGCAGCCAGAACTAGAATCGGGACCCAAATGGGATGCCAGTGCCACAGGTGGAAGATTAACCTAGTGGGCTACAGTGGTGGCTCCTCCTGTTATCTTTGTAATGTGTGAAATTCATTCTACTATGATCCATTTTTTTATTTCTAATTTTTTCCTTTGATCTTCTCTAATCCTACTCAAATTCATGCTATTATAATTACAGAGGCATTATTAAAAAGTTTCAATATGTCAGTGGATTAATCTACCCTCATTATTCCTGTTTTACAATTTCATTTTTCCCACAAACATATTTGAAAGTTTGTTTATAAAAATTTGTTTATATTCCCACATCAAAATCTTGTTAGTATTTTGCTTGAATCCCATTGAAGAGAGATCATTGAGAACAAAATTATATTTATTTCATCTGCCTATAATTGAGCAAAATCTTCCTAATTTTTTTCTATTTATTTATTTGTTTGACAGAAAGAACTCCCATCTGTTGGTTCACTTCCAAATGCCCACAGTGGATCTTGTGGACACTGGCTGACACCAAAACTGGGAGGCAAGAACTCCATTCACTTGAGTCGTCACTGCTGTCTCCCAGGGTCTGCATTAGCAGGAAGGTGAAGTCAGGAACAGAGCAAGGTACACTCTGATATAGGATGTGGGCATCCTAACTCCTAGGCCAATGGCTCACCTTACCCTTATTCATATACCTTAGAATTCTAAAACTATCTTTAGATAGGTTCTAGGTATTTTTGTTAAACTTATTTCTGGAATTTATATTTTATTGCTATTGTAAGTATCAACTTAATGATTATATGTCTATATTATTTAACAGGATTTTATGGGTTATTTTGAACTTTATTGTGATACAGAACATATGCAAGGGAATTAAATCATAAAACTTTAAATAAGAAGAGATAATAAAGAGTGGTTGAAGAATTTTTAAAAATAAATGCAATTTTAGAAATCTGAACAGGGGCCGGCGCTGTGGCGTAGCAGCTAAAGCTGCCGCCTGCAGTGCCAGCATCACATATGGACAGCAGTTCAAGTTCCGGCTGCTCCACTTCCAATCCAGCTCTCTGCTATGGCCTAGGAAATCAGTAGAGGATGGCCCAAGTCCTTGGGCCCCTGCACCCACTTGGGAGACCCAGAAGAGGCTTCTGGCTTCAGGTCGGCCCACCTCTGGCCATTGCGGCTACTTGGGGAAAGAAGCAGCAGATGGAAGATCTCTCTCTCTCTCCCTCAGCCTCTCTGTAATTCTGCCTTTCAAATAAATAAATAAATCTTTAAAAAAAAGAAATCTAAACAAATCAGTAATTATAATAAGTGAAAACAGATAAAGCTTACCTATAAAAAGATTGAGTTGACATGGTTTTGGCCCAGTGGTTAAGATCCCCTGACACCCATGCACCCATGTGGGAGACCTGCACTGGGTTCTGGGCCCCTGGCTTTGGCTTAGCCCTGCTCTTGCTATTGCAAGCATTTGAGAAGTGAACAAGCAGATGAAAGATCTGTCTGTCTGTCTGTCTCTTTCTGTGCGTGTGTGTGTGTGTATCTCCATGCCTTTGAGGGGAAAAAAAAAGCAAACAAATGGAAGTGTTTTTAAAAGGGTTATTTCACAGACTCAGGAGGCAACCTGAAAGGATCCCCACTTGATATAGTGAGAACATTTTGAACATTGAAAAGAAAAATGACTGCAATTTGACTAAAACACATCTAATTTGTAAAAATCAACTGAGTTCTTAAAATGCTGAAAAGTAAAACAATATAAATCTCATAAATCATATTTAGTGATTACTTTGCTCCATCCCATTACTCTGAAAACATATATTTTTTTTTTAAACAGGGGTAGGTTGGGTGAAAATCAAGCACTTATTTTGCCTTTTTAGACCAGGAAATTTGTTTGGAAGTTCTTCATTACAAAATAATTACAGCTAACATATATGCATGCACAAGGAATGGTGGAATGAGAAAGCAAAGTTGGAATTCCTTAAGAAATGACAGATGTGCCGGCGCCGTGGCTCACTAGGCTAATCCTCCGCCTGTGGTGCCAGCACCCCGGGTTCTAGTCCCGGTCGGGGCACCAGATTCTGTCCCAGTCGCTCCTCTTCCAGGCCAGCTCTCTGCTGTGGCCCAGGAGTGCAGTGGAGGATGGCCCAACTTGGGCCCTGCACTCGCATGGGAGACTAAGAGAAGCACCTGGCTCCTGGCTTCAGATCAGCGCGGTGTGCCAGCCGCAGCAGCCATTGTGGGGTGAACCAACAGAAAAGGAAGACCTTTCTCTCTGTCTCTCTCTCTCTCTCACTGTCCACTCTGCCTGTCGAGAAAAGAAAGTATAAAAGGAAGAAGGAGGAGGAAGAAAAAGAAATGACAGATGTAGGAAATGATCATCTTTAATGCTAAAACTTTTAGTGAAAGCTTTAGAGGACTGTTAGAATGGAAGCACTGGGCTGACAGCAGTAATATAATAAGTAGACAGCAGTTGTTCTTGTCAGAAAATGTAAACCTTAGTCTGATCAGGCCTCTGGAACAAAAGAACCAGCTAACAGGAAGAGAATAAACAGCAAATACCACAAGGAAACAAGTAGCTAAGTCAATGGCGTGGATATTCTATAAAAGTGTGGGCTGGCTACTCTTTAGAGCTCTATTTTCAGCATCAAATGATTTTTTTCCTCTTTTGTGATTTTGTGATATAGATAGATAGATAGATAGATAGATAGATAGATTTTATTTATTTATTTGATTGGTAGAGTTACAGACAGAGGGAGAGACAGAGAGAAAGGTCTTCCATCCATTGGTTCACTCCTCAAAAGCTGCAACAGCTGGAGCTGTTCCAATCCAAAGCCAGGAGCCAAGAGCTTCTTGTGTGTCTTCCATGTGAGTACAGGAGCCCAAACACTTGGACCATCTTCTACTGCTTTCCCAGGCCACAGCAGAGAGCTGGATTGGAAGAGGAGTGGCCAGGACTAGAACTGGCGCCCTTAAGGGATGCCAGCACCACAAGTGGAAGATTAACCCACTGCATCACATTGCTGGCCCCTGTGTGTATTTCTTACAAGTAGCATTCCACTATAATTTGTATGTATTTATTTGAAAGGCAGAAAGAAGGACAGACAGAGAGCTCTCATTTACTGGTTCATACCTCAAATGCCCACAACACCCTGGGTTGGGATGAGCCAAACCGACGAGCCAGGAACTCAATCAGGGTATCCCACATGGCAGCAGGAACCAATTTATTTGAAACATCACTGCTGCCTCAGGTTCTGCATTATTAGCAGGAAGCTGGAGTTAGGAGCCAGATGTGGGTATTGAAACCCAGGTACTCCAGTATTTTTATAGTCATGGCACATGAGCAGGAGGACCTGTCTGATAACAGTTGTACCCATGAAACTCTTATTATACTCAGAATTTAAAAGCATCTCTGAAACTACAACAGGATGCCAAGAAAAGAACTATCAGAGAAGGGAAATAATACAAATTAAAACATGATTGATAAAATAAATTTCAAGGGAAAAGTTAAAATAAAAAGTTGAAAGACTTTCCCAGATGGTAGAATAAACAGACAATATAAGAAAAAGAATAAAACAAAGAGATCATTTAGGGAATGATATGTGACTAACAGATGACTCAGTTTAAGTATGATATTCTAGATGAGAGAATCATGGAAAAGGAATTTTTCAAAGAAACAGAAGAGAATTTGTCAGAGTTGATAAGAGGAAGATTGCAGATTGTAATGCTCACTGAATGCTTAGCACACCAAGGAAAAAAATTTGAAATCAAGTGTTCAAGGAAAAAAAGAGGTTCCTAAAATCTTTCCATTGAAGAAACAAAAATTTATTTACAAGAAGACTTGGAATGAAAATAAAATTAGTTTATCAGCAACATTGAATGTTTATGAACAATGATAAATTCTTCTACTCCAGAATTCTATGCCTAATTGTAAGGGGATTATGAAGACGTTAGGTATATAGTGGTTTAAATGATTACTGAGAGTTTTTCCTAGTAACTATTCTTAGGGATTCTCTTTGGAACCAGATACTTTGGCTTGAAAAGCTTGCCTATTTTTCAGCTTTGCTTTTTTCAATGGCCATGGGCTCAATATTCATAACTGTGATCCCATGTCGACATGTTCCTGAAAAATCATTTGATGCTGAAAATAGAGCTCTGAAAAGTAGCCAGCCCACATTGGAACAGGAAGATGACATTTTCACAATAAAAAGTATGGGAGTTGGGAGGCTGAGACACTTGAGAAAACAGATTATATAGAGCCTTTGAAAACAAATTAATTAAATTTAGACATCAAATTAATTAAATAAGTCACTTTTAAATTGTATATAATCAGTAAAAATTATTAACACTGCTTATTGATTTAAGTAAAATTTAGTGATTACACTATGAGAATATAGGGGGATAGGATCTAATTCCTCTCAGAGCAAGAAGTAAATGGATAATTTCCAAAATAATCTATCATAGAACAGTAAAAGCAACATTGAACTCATATTGTTTGAATTGGCAGATGATTTTGGTCTGAAGTATGGGTGCCAGCTATGCTATCTTCTATCACTATTGTGTTGGTAATTAATTTCTTTCCATTTTTGTTTACTAACTTGTACAACAGGGATAAGAATAGTACCTACAATCCTAACCCTAACCATAACCCTAAACCTACAACATAAGATTGCTATGAGGATTAATTGAAATATATGTGAAGTACTTAACTTTGATAATGGTGGTGTTTCATGATTGCACACATTACTTAGCCTTTTACTACTCTTGTTATATCTCCTCTTACCTTGTTTTTCTTCCTAGTTGCAGATTCTTTTTGGTTTGTCACTTCTATTGTCTGTTATAAATGCCACTTTTTTGGTCCTATCTTTCACTTAGATTTTTTCATACTGGAAAGCCTGATCTTTGACCAGATGGCAGTAACATTTGAAGATGTGACTGTTACTTTCACTTGGGAGGAGTGGAACTTCCTGGACTCTTCTCAAAAAAAGCTGTACAGGGAAGTCATGTGGGAGAACTACACAAATGTCATGTCAGTAGGTAAAGTAATCCCAGCTGGTAAGTAATAGACTTAGTGTCTTCTAGAACTGGTTTTGTTGAGTATTTTTGACTTTTTCTCTGTTTTTTAAAGATTATTTATTTATTTATTTGAAAGTCAGAGCTTAGAGAGAGGAGGGATAGACAGAGAGATATCTTCCATCCATTGGTTCTCTCCCCAGATAGCTGCAACAGATGAGTCTGGGCCCAGCTGAAGCCAGGATCCAGGAGCCTCCTCCAGGTCTTCCACGTGGGTGTCAGGAGCCGAAGTACTTGGGCCATCCTCCACTGCTTGTCCAAGGCCATTAGCAGGGAGTTGGATTCGAAGTGGAACAGGCCAGACTCAAACCAGCCCCCATATGGGAAGCCAGCATCACAGGCAGTGGCTCTACCTGCTACACCACAAAGTAGCCTCAAGTGTTTTGGTTCTTTATCTAGGTATTGTGTTGAGGTGGTGAAGAAATTATCTCAAAAAATGTGTTTTAAATCAGATGACACATACATTATCTGAAGTGGAACCAGAGTGTTTCAGATTTTGGAATTTTTTTTTTTTTTTTTTGCAGTATTGGCATAGACATTGCCAGAGGAGCATCCCTAATTTAAAATTCTCCCAAATCCAAAACTTTTGAGCATCTTTGCATTACTTTTGGATTTGGAATGCTTGACCTGCAAAAAAGGGCAAAACATCTTCCAAGATACCTAAACTATGTAATTAGTAGATGTTTGTCATTATTATTTTTACTAATTTTCTGGTAAAGCACAAGTCTCAAATCACAGTCAATTTTTGTGTCAAAAGGTTTTTCTTTCTTCATACTGTTTATATGTTAGTTTTAGTTGTATAAAAAACTATTACCAATTTAGTGGCTTAAAACAGATTTTATTGTTTTTCATAATTGTTTGGATCTTATGTGTGGACTTTGTTGGGGCTGGCTGGCCTGACTCATATCTGGCGGTTGGCTCAATATTAGTGAGAATAATGGGTATAAGGTAGCCCTGTGTCTCTCTTAAAACAAGCTCCCTAGGTTCATTTACATGATGGTGGTCACTGGATTTTCAAAAGCAGCAAGAAAGAGAGCAAGCACTTTGAAGTCTTTGCTTGTAATACTTTTGCTGTTTCCCTAATGAGCAAAGCAAATTGTATAGCCAAGCCTAGAGATGTTTTGTAAGGAGAACCACTAAAGGTATAGATAAAGTAGAGAATTAATGTAGACATTTTCCCCACACAGTCTACCACACTATTTCAGAAAATAAATTAGAAACAATATATTTTCACATAAGAATGCCCCAAATAATCTAATTATATCTCAGTTTTTTTAACATTGTGAAGCAATTGGACTTACTCTTGGTTTTTAAAATTTATTTGAGGGGGCCGGTGCCATGGCTCACTTGGTTAATCGCCGGCATCCTATATGGGTTCTGGGTTCTAGTCCCAGTTGCTCCTCTTCCAGTCCAGCTCTCTGCTGTGGCCTGGGAAGGCAGTGGAGGATGGCCCAAGTGCTTGGGCCCCTGCACCCGCATGGGAGACCAGGAAGAAGCACCTGGCTCCTGGCTTCAGATTGGCATAGCGCCAGCAATAGCGGCCATTTGGGGAGTGAACCAATAGAAGGAAGACCTTTCTCTCTGTGTCTCTCTCTCACTGTCTATAACTCTACCTGTCAAATAAAAAAAAAAAATTATTTGAGGGAAAATTAGGGAGAGGGTAAAAGGAAGAGAACAGAAAAAAGAAATGGTGAGAGGATAGGAAGGGAGAGAAAGAGCAATCTCTTTATCCACTGGTTCACTCCCCAGATACCCACAATGGCCTTGAGACCAAAGCTGGGGGTCAGAAACTGAATCCAGGTCTCCCACATGGTGGCAAGGATCTAATTCATTGAGTTATCACTGCTGCCTCTCAGGGTCTTCATTAGCAGAAAGCTGGAGTCAGGAGTCCAAGGTGGGTACTGAACCCAGATATTCTGACTAATATGGAACATGGTCATCTTAACTAGAGTCTTATTCACTAGGCTAAATGCCTGCATGGGCCTTGCTCTTATTTCAAAACAGTCTGGTAAATAATACATGGTAAAGATATGTTTGTGGAATGAATGAATGAGCACATACATATGAGGGGGCTTTCAAAGAGTTGATTGAAAGTAGAATTAAAGGATAATGCAGGGAGTGGGTTTAGCTTAGGATTAGACACCAATTAAAATGTTAGAATACCACATCAGAGTACCTGGGTTTGATTCCTGACTCAGACTTCTGATATTCCAGCTTCCAGCTAGTACAGACCCTGTTGGTGGTAGTGGTGAGGGACACTGGTGATAGCTCAAGTAATTCAGTTATCACCACGCATTTCGGAGACCTATGAATTCCCAGCTCCTAGCTTGGGCCCTGGCCTGCCCCAGCCATTGCAGGCATTTATGGAATGAACCAGTAGATAAGAGTTTCTCTTTCACTCTCTCTCTCAAGTAAACTATTCTGTGAACCTTTTGAAACTCCCTCACATAAATGAAGGAAACAAATGAATTTCAGTTTCTATTGGAGCAGCCAAAGTCATAATCCTTCTTTCCTACCCCTATCCACACTTTTAGTCCTATCATTCTGGGGGTCTGAGTATTTTAATCACAGCCTTCATCTCACATTTGAATTTATTCTTTATTTTATTCTTCCAGGAAACTGGAATCAGAGTTACAAACCCCAAGAAGAAAGATTCAGATATTTAGAATGTGAAAATTCTTCCTGCTGGCAAGGCTGGAAGAATGCTGGCACTCAGATATGTAAGGAGACTGTTCAGGCAGTAGATTCCGAAGACCTAAAGCAGCAAGATCTTTCCCAGTGTCAAGAATGGCTAGTACTCTCCACCCAACTACCAAGATATGGAAACTGTGAACTCACTTTTGAAGGAAAAATCCCTGGGAACTTAAAATATAAAAATTTCATACCTTGGCATTCCTTAGAAACAAAAATCACTCAAGATTATGATAAAGAAATCTACATGAATGACTCACATGGCTTTCAAGGGGACATAGACCATCTTGGCAGTTCTAGGAAAAATCTCTCAATGGGAAAAGAACCAAAGCTTATAGTTCAGCATTCTTATATTCCAATAGAAGAAGTTCTTCCAGAGTACATTGATGAGGTATGCCAAAATGACCTACTGAAAGACTCAAAGGAGGAGAAATGCTGTGGATGTAACAAATGTAAAGAACTTTATTCTTGGAACTCACAGTGTAGTCTCCATAAGAGAAATCAACCTGAAGAAAAGCTTAATCAGTGTTCCATCAGCACAGCAGACTTCTCTCAGAGATCAGATTTGTGTAGACATCCAAGAATCCTCATAAATAAGAAGCTGGATGGATATGACCAAAGTCAGAGTTATACAGAGAATGCAGACATCCATGTATTGGATGATGAAACTGACATTAACTTTAGTCAGAGTTCAGGAGTTCAGTTTTATCCTAGAGCCCAGAAAGCGGAGATACCTTGTATCTGCAATGTGTGTGGTAAAAGCTTCAGTCAGATCTCTTGTCTTCACAGTCATCAGAGAAGCCACATACAAGAGAGCCACATACAATTTGAGTGTGATAAGGATCTCCACAGAAACTCAATACTTCACATTCAGGAGAGACTTAACATAGAAGAGAAGCCGTTTAAGTGTGATCAGTGTGATAAGAGTTTTAGTCGAAATTCAGTACTTCATGTTCATCAGAGAGTCCACACAGGAGAGAAACCATATAAGTGTGATGAGTGTGGTAGGGGCTTCAGTCAGAGCTCAAACCTTCGAATTCATCAGTTAGTACATACAGGAGAGAAGTCCTATAAATGTGGAGACTGTGGTAAGGGCTTTACGCAGCGCTCAAATCTTCAAATTCATCAGAGAATACATACAGGAGAAAAGCCTTATAAATGTGATGAGTGTGGAAAGGACTTTAGTCACAGCTCAGACCTTCGCATTCATCAGAGGGTTCATACAGGGGAGAAGCCCTATACTTGTCATGAATGTGGGAAGGGCTTCAGCAAGAGTTCAAAGCTTCACACTCATCAAAGAGTACATACTGGAGAGAAACCCTATAAATGTGAAGAGTGTGGTAAGGGATTCAGTCAGCGTTCACATCTTCTCATTCATCAGAGAGTCCATACAGGGGAAAAACCCTATAAATGTGATGACTGTGGAAAGGGCTTTCGTCACAGTTCTAATCTTCATATTCATCAGAGGGTCCATACCGGAGAGAAGCCTTATCCATGTGCTAAGTGTGGTAAGGGTTTCAGTCATAGCTCAGCTCTTCGGATTCATCAAAGAGTTCACGTGGGAGAGAAAACTTACAAGTGCCAAGAGTATTATAAGGGATTTGACCAGAATTTACATATTCACAATAATCACCAAAGAGAAACTTTATAAATCTGTTCATTTAGTTAACAACTTTAAGTAAAACTTAAACTTTAAAATGCGACTGGAAAAGATAGCCTATAAATAGCATAAGTGATGCCAAGCAACATATATTGTTCCCCTTAACTCCCACTAACAATTATTTGCTTCAGAGGAGATTCTTAGGGAGAGTTCTATATATTTAAAATTAAAGTATATTTTCTTTACAATAAAACATAATATGTGATTATTATAAAATATATTTTGAAAAATTAATAAAATTCATCTTGATTATTCTAGTCTTCCTGTGAATTTTAATATACATGAAATAAAATTCTATTTTCAACTCTATTTTCACTGACTTTGAAATGTTTAAATTTTGGTTTGAATTGACACTGGCTAGGCATTTTGACACTATCTCTTGGCTTCCCTGTAAAGTCTTTAGGAAGCTACAGAAAATAGGGAACACATAAAACTTGAAACTCAAAACAGGTAGATAACCTGTGACTCAAATATGGAAGAATTAACAGTAGGACCAGTGAAATTCAATTGCTTATGAAACAAAAGCTACTTAACAAAAAAATAGGGAAATGTTGTAGACTGCATATACGAGGAGCCTTCCAGGATTTCCTGAAAAAATATGTATTATGAAAAAAGCTATGCATGAATTTAAAAAAATTTTGTACCAAAATAAACATCTTTTAATTTTCTCTCTCACAAACTTTTTAAAGTACCCCTGTATATGGAAGGAAGCTGATCTCTGGATTTTCTGACTGCTCTCACTGCTCCACCTCTTCACCCCTCAGCCCTTCCATAAGAGAGGAGCACAGGGATGGACCGTTCTCCCCAGCCTGGGCTCAGGCCCAAAGGTGTGTCTTCTCCATCCTGAAAAGCAGTTTCTAAGCCCTCTTGAACATCCTGTCCCAGTGCTGACAGCTTCAACTGTCAAAGCTGGTCTTCAGAGTCCTGTATTTCCATATCACTCATACAGGATAATGAAGTAAACATAGTCATCGCACATGCTATTTGTATAGTAAAAAATATAAATACTGAATACAGATTAACCAAAAATTGAGATAAACTGTATTAGTAGCTTAATGGGGAGGGCTAAATAAGTTGGAGTACAGAATATATAATAGGAAATCAGAAGCAATACTTGTCAATTAAATAATGAGTATAGCATTTAGTAATAAGAATGTAAAATACAAGAAGAATCAATTCAACAGGTTTGAAACTATTAGTGGGCCCAGTAGTATATATAGCCAGATGACCATGTCAGGCCTCACAACAAAGCTACATGAAGACAGAAATAATTGTAAAAGCTGAAAAATCCCAGTGTTCATCTCTGTGGACTCCTTAGTAAGGCAAAAGATTTCTCTCAGAGCAGGGGTCATAATTCTGTGATCCAGGATGAGCTGTTAGTCTTTCCTTGGAAAATAATATAGGGGCTGGCACTATGGCATAGCAGGTAAAGTTGCAATCTGCAGTGCCAGCCGATTCAAGTCCTGGCTGCTCCACTTTCAATCCAGCTCTCTGCTGTGGCCTGGGAAAGCAGTAGAAGATGGCTCAAGTTTCTGCACCCCTGCACCCACTTGGGAGACCCAGAAGAAGCTCCTGGCTCCTGGCTTTGGATTAGCTCAACTCCGGCCATTGGGACCATCTGGGAAGTGAACCAGTGGATGGAAGACCTCTCTCTCTTTGCCTCTGCCTCTCTGTGATTCTGCCTTTCAAATAAATAAATCTTTAAAAAAAGAAAAAAAGAAAAAAAAATCATACAGTGCAGTACGTTTCCCTATGAAGAAGACAGGTTATACATTTATACTTTAACTATACTCTTAGAATAATATAGTCATACATCAGTTTCCTTTCTGTTGGCTTCAAGTTTAAAGTCTATAAGCATTTATGATGTATATTAGATTTAAAACACCCCTTTTGATACAAATGCTGTTTCTAAAAAACAGAAATGTCAGGATAATCAGCATATTTTTGATACTGCTTATAAACACACCTCTTCAAAAATTAAGAACAATATGGGTTGAACATAATTTGTCTATTATTTCCCTACATAAGGTGTAAAAATCTTGCCACTTGTTTCCTTTATGAGATCAGTAACAAAATTTCTTAGTTATTTGAAGGTCAGAGACACAGAGATCCACTGGTTCAGTCAGTCCCCAAATGCCTGCAACAGCTGAGACTGGGCCAGAATGGAGCTGGGAGCAAGGAACCCAACTCCTGTCTCCCACGTGGGTGGCAGCCACTCAAGTACCTTGCTGCCTCACAGGGTGAGTGTGAAATACAACTTTAACAATAAATGATTTTTGGCCATTTCCTACACAGGTGTTTTGGTTATCTATAGCAACCATTTTATCAGTTTTTAATTCCAGACTGGGCTGGGCTGTACTGAGCTGCCTGGTTCTGCTTGTTAGCTTGCATTCCCAAATCTGTAGTAAGGGGTAAACTGGGCTGGCCTTTTCTCTCTCCATGTATTTTTAGGACCTACCCCTCTTCATATACTTTCTATATGACGTCTGCAGTGGAATTCCTCCACTTCTAATTGAGTTGCTCTGGGATTATGGGCTCAGGAGCAACATGCTGACCTTTCTAAAAAAATTTATTGGGCTGGGGATGTCAGAAAGAGAGAGCTCCAAGCCCCTCTGTATTCCCCAAATGCCTGCAACAGCTCCTGGCTAGATTTCTTTTTATTATTCACTATTTCTTATTTCACTGAAAGGAATACATGACTGTGGAAACCCAATTCAGTTCAGCTGTCTGGAGAAAATGTTTTCTAGAGTTTATTTAAAACTTCCTTCTTTATTTGTATAGCAACATAGCAATTTTAGTTCTTAATGTACCATATACAATAGTGTTTTGCTTTTTCCCCTAAATATTAAATCATACATGCTTCTCCTAGTATATATTATTTTATATATTTCAGTGGTTGCAAAATATGGTTTAGTCTTGACCTAATTCCAAGTCATTATAACATTATGATAAATATATCTATAAATTTTTTGTGCATGTATGGGCATTTTTTGGTAAAAATATATCCCTAAAAATAGAATGGTTCCATGAGATAGTACACACATCTGGAATTTTAAGACACTGTCAAATATCTTCCCTCACTTTTATCATTTCATACCCACAATAATAGTTTGATAATGTGCTCATTCCCATACCCTCTTGTCAATACTAAGAACAACTGCTTACATTTTTTACAGTCTGTTTACATCTTTAATATATATTTAGTAGTCATTTTTACTTTTCTGTAGGATGGTACTTTAAAGTGTTTGTGGAAACTAGAACTAAAAGATCAGTTTATTTATAAGGTCTGTCCATAGTTTTGTCATAATATGCATTTTCCATAAATTTTTGAAGATTTTGTAAATTTTTAGACTGAATCTTTTGCCTGATTTTCTATTTGATGCTTTTTTCATTATTGTTATTTTATATGCTAGAGATATTAAAACTTCAATTTGTCATATGCAATGAAGATATCTTTCCAGTTTACTTTTGGTTTTGTATCTATTTACTTTCTAATCCATAAAAGTTTTAAACTTTTTTCCTTTTCATTTATTATTTGAAAGTCAGAGTTACAGAGAGAGAGATTCAATCTTCCATCTGCTGGTTCAATTCCCAGATAGCTGCAACAGCAAAGGCTGAGCCAGGCGGAAGCCAGGAGCCAGGAGCTTCTTCCAGGTTTCTTTTGTGGGTGGCAGGGGTCCAAGCATTTCGGCCATCTTCCACTGCTTTTCCCAGGCCATTAACAGGAAGATGGATTAGAAGTGGAGCAGCTAGGACATAAAACCAGTGCCCATAAGGGATGCTGACATTGCAGGCAGCAGTTTTATCCGCTATGCCAGAATGCTGGCCTCCCCCGCCCCGCCTTTTTTTTAAAGATTTATTTATTTGAAAGGTAGAATGACAGAGTGGGAGAGACATAGATCTTCCCCAGATGGCCACAACAGCAATGGCTGGGCCAGGCTAGAACTAGGATCCAGGAACTCCATCCAAATTTCCCACATGGGTAGCAGGGCCCAAGCACTATTTGCTGCCTCCCTGGGAACATAAGCAGGAAGCTGGATCTGAGGTGGAAAAGCCAGATCTAGGATGCTAATAGTGGCTTATACAGCTGCTCCACATTGTCAACCCTGTGTTCAAAACTTATTAACACAGAATATTTCAGAAATACACAAGGAAGAAACAACAGTGTAATGAGTGCCCACTAACACATCGCCTTGCTTCAAATACTGTCTATAATAGGAATGGCAAATCATTCTTGCTTAAACGATTCCTTGATTTTTCCTCCTAGAACTCTGCAGCCAATCCTAAGCATTCCTTCAGTTGTATACACTTCAGCATACATTGTTAATATAAAAGGATTTTTTAAAAAGCTAATGCATTTTCTCACCTAATAATTTGAATACCAATAATTCCTTAATGTTTTCTAACACTCAGTCCATATTAAAGTTTCCCCAGTGATTAAATATAGTTAGGTCTGTTTTAATCTGCTTTAGATACTGCTTTTTGGTTTACTAATTTTGTTTTTAGTTGAATAAAATGTTTATATAATTCCACAGTCAAAACCAGGTCTTCCCACACGGGTGCAGGGGCCCAAGGACTTGGGCCATCTTCTATTGCTTTCCCAGCCCAGAGCAGAGAGCTGGATTGGAAGTGGAGCAGCCAGGGCTTGAACTGGCACCATATGTAATGCAGGCACTGCAGGTGGCAGCTTTACCCGCTATGCCACAGCGCCAGCCCCGGGTTGAGGATTTTATCTTGTTTGCTTTTGAAGTAAAGTGTATATATTTGAACCAATCAGGTATCAGTGGTCAGAGATAAGATAACCAGAAAAAAATATGGATTTTCTTAATTGTGCAAGAAGTACTCAGGTGAAAAGTTGTTACAGGAGAGTGAACAGGAATTATAAAGGCGTTAAAGTGAGAATAGATCTAACATGTTCTTTTCTTACTTAACAGGTATAGCCTTTAAAGCAAAGCCATTGTCCCTTAGATCCTATCAGCCAGTATTAAAGCTATTTCATTCTCAAAAGCACAAGGATTTGGGATTAAATTTCACTTTGGATTCATTTTAGACTTGTAGACCAGAATGAAATCCAATGATTTAATACCAAAATACACAGAATTTATGAGAAAAATTAATCATCACATAGTATACTTGAAAGAAATGAAAGAGACTGTGACTGTTTACCAATAAAATCAATCAGAAAATGTATGATAGATAGATGTATAGAAAACCAGAAGAAACCTGTTTCACATGCGCCTATGAACACATTTTCTCAGAAGAAAAAATATAATGAATTTGAAACTATTTTAGTGGCTGGTGTTGTGGCG